GTTAGACGACAGCAGGTGGTCTATACTTTGGCAAACTCTACACCAACTATATATATATTTACTGTATATATGTGGTTCGATTTTTAGCTTTGGGCTATAGGCCTATATCTGAAGGGGTTAAATCTTCCGATGCCACATGAGGAAGGCCCTACTTGTTAATTTCAGCCAGGAGCAGATGCCATTAGATAATGTTCAACTTCCACTATGTGTTTCGACTCAGAACCACAACACTCTGTTGCTGGTAGTCCAGTAGTCGTGGTTCTTCAAGGCTTTTCGCTCGTGGTCTTCTTCAATCCCTGTCCTCTTACTGTCAGTTTATCCAGAATTATTTTCCTATCTTCAGACGGGTGGCTGTGAGGTAAATTCAGCCTCCTCTCCATGTCAACCCTTATCTCTTGGGACCTGCAATTTGCAGAAGATTGGGCTCTGGTCTGGTCTTTTAGTAGAAAACAGCCTGGCTGACTCCTTGATGAAGGTGAAAGGCTTCTTCAAAAACGACCTCTTCTGGCATCTATACTGCTCATCTGTCAGAGGAAGAAGCACTTTGTCGAGGCGCCACCTGTAGGCCTGGGTTAGAGATATTTTCCCAGTGAGGCCTTTTAACTTACTTTGCAGTTTGGGTTCTTGGTTCTTGGGTCTTTGGTTCTTCTTATCTCTCAGGCCCCATGTGAAAAACTCTGCTGTTGTCATTTCTGTGGAGTTATGTATGAAGCTAGCTTGAAAGCTTGCTTAGATCCACTCAGATATTTAGAAAAGAGGGAACCTGTGGAAACTGGACAATAATGCTTTTACTAACAATGTTCGAAACTCTTAAATTTTTGCAAATTTATTTTGTCGTCCTTTATTACTGTTTCATTTGGTACAGCCATCAAGTAGACTGTATTTCTACAGTGCTTTCTCTAGTCTTCTAAAGTGCTTTTATATGTCACATTCAGTTATTCACACCACATTAACACTCTGTTGGCAGAGGCTGCTATGTAAAGCACTCATCAGTATTGATTACTCCCATTCACACAACACGTTTCTGCAATCAGTGTTTAAGTCACAGTGACCTTTTTTTGAACCTGAAATTGTACAAAATATTTGATTCAGAAATGTGTCTTAAACTTTAATAGACCTACAGCAGTCCTTGAATCTCACAGTGAAAGTGACTCCAAAGGCTCTCCCACACCTGAGCCTTCAAAGGAAAAGGCCAAGGAGACTCCCTGGTGGTAAAGGTGGTGTGCAAATGTGATTTTTATCACAGCTGAATATTTAAAGTAACTTCCAGATGAAAGCATGCAGTCATTTATGTTGAACTCTTTCAACGAGATCATGTCTTTATTCCAAACAGGAGAGCTTAGAGCTAAAAAGGAAATAAATCTGTTATATTCTGCTAAAGAAATGAGGCATGTCACTCTTTTCCTTGTTCACACTTACTTGTATTTTATGTTGCTCACCCTCTTGGCTTTATTACTGCGATTGATCCTTGCAGTAGATAAAACCTCAGTTTTACCATTTACCACCAGAAACTAGACTGTCTACCCATAGACTAAGAGTCTAAGGGTAAAGAAGCAGGACCCCAGGTGGCTGTGGTAATCCTTGACACCATCCAGATATCTAAAGAGTCCAAGAGGCTTCACCTGCTTCTAATGCTGCCATTTAGGAAGCTAAAGATGCTGGAGTAACAGAGGCTTTGCTGGCTACCTTTGGTCACACAAGAGTCTGGGGATAGGGTAGATGGAGTCCTGGAGGCTTTATTTACTGCTGACACCTTCAAAGAGGAGGATGAGGCTGAGGATGCAGCATCTTTATACCCCTTTGCTGAACCAAATATGACCCCTTAGTGACATCTGCTCTTCTTGTCACCAGGTATGTTCTAAAGATAAGACACATTCAATCACCTGATACCTAGGTGCAAAGTTCACTCAAACTTATGCTTTAGTTGGGAGATATTGCAAGTTATTGCAAGACGTCTTGCAAGACGTGAAAAAAGCTGGCTCTGTGGTTGGACTCAAGCTGGACTCAGTGGAGGATGTGGTGGAGAGATCTAAACGGAGGAGGGTTGAGACTATTCTCAAGAACATGGATCACCCACTTCACAACACCTTGATGGACCAAAGGGCAAATGGTAGTGGACAGCTCCTCTCACTTTGCTGCAGGACAGAAAGATTTAGAAGATCTTTTGTAGCCATCAGGATTTATAACTCTTATGTATATAATAAATTACTTTTATAGACATATTACATGAGACAACAGACAATTGAATTTCCCTTCGGGGATCAATAAAGTTCTTCTTATTCTTATTCTTCTTGAGAGAATTTCTCAGTTTGGGATCAATAAAGTACATCTATCTATCTATCTATCTATCTATCTATCTATCTATCTATCTATCTATCTATCTATCTATCTATCTATCTATCTATCTATCTATCTATATTGAACATTTATCATTGTAATTTAGAATAAAGAGTTATAAACACACTGGAGAAAATGGACATTTATTACATCTTGGACCACTGGCCAAGATGTAATAGAGTGAAAGTTAGTAGTCTCACATCTTAAAAACTTCACAGATCACAGTAAAAATATATTTACTTGGTTACATCTGATCTCTGCATGGTATTGAGTGGCACTAGTTAAGCAAACTGTTACAGTAACATGTGGATTCTGTATGAAATGTCTACTGTTTTATTGAACAAAACCGATGATGAAAAAGATAAGAGTTAAGCCAAGCTGTCCAAGTCTACGCAAACTGGCACACAAACAGGAGGTCCAGTCAGGAGTAGGAGTAGAGCAGTTACATCTACTCCAGGCTTATTGGAAACGTTACAGATGAACTTCTAGTAATCATGTCTCTTTTTTCTGGTCTGTCTTCTGCTGGGTTTGTAGGTGTCAAAATGTGACCTTTCCTGGACAGGGAAAAAAACAACTTGTATTTAAGATGACTGTAGCCATTCAGAATAAGAGGTAATATTTTATCATCAATGTTAGGATTTATTACACCTTAAATAATGCACCTGCCAGAAAAAGTTCATGCACTTCTGGACCCTTTGGATGTAGGTTAAGACTAATATCTCATCCTTTGTTGTCAAACACTTTTTTTGGTTTGACTTAGTCTTACAAAATAACACAAAGCTTCAAAATAAAAGCTGCTTTACAGTATCTGAGAGTCTTGTATCCATAGTGTATCAATTACTTATTCTAAACCTATTTCTGGGCTGAGATTTGGTCCACCATTTGCCCTAAGCTCAGTACAACACTGATGGTTCCTTAATAAATCCAGCAGATGGCAGTATTGTTCAACATGACTTCATAGAGGGATACTGTAGAAGCTATGGTTGAAACTACAAACTGCATGCATTAATCTGCTGTAGACACACCATGTACATTTTTGAAAAATGTTTTAAATGTTAATATGATCACTTCCTGGCAGTACATCACCTAATACTGTTCTTAAATGACCTACCTGATATATGCATGGTCATACATCACATCTTCTTTGTATCTAAAAGTATTATTTGAAATAAATGTAAAGATTTATAACCCTATCCTGTTGATAAAATACAGTTTTTCGTGATTTGTTTTGGCAGGAGGGTGAGTTCTTAAAGTGATGAAGGCTTATATGGGTCACATGGGTCAGATATGTCAGTAATATGCTGTATAACCATCAGTAAAACCACTGAAAAAAGTTTTGATATGTGTCTTATTTTGGGCATTTATCCAATCTACAACCAGCGAAACTAAAATCAAATAGATTAGAATAAAAATCAAGTTTCTCACCTCTAGAAACTCATGCCAAATGTGTGAACACTTTAAGCTTTTGATACCCTAACAAATGTGAATGTTAACTATTATCACCAAAAACACTGTTTAACAATAAGATCATACTTAAAACAAAATGTAAATGTGAAAATTTTAACATTTTGCCAACATTTTACAAAATTAAAGTCCTGTATACGTACAACAACAACAACAACAACAACAACAACAACAACAACAACAACAACAATGTACCTTTTTAGTCTTGCTTTTAACTAAATTTTATGTGATTAACTCTGTTTAAGTGTTTTAGCATTTATCTATTCTAGTTTTAATCACGGGATCGTCTTTTATTGAGCTATTTTGGTGCTCTTATTTTAGTATCTTTTACTGTTGTTTTCATTTCATTTTATTGATTATTTCTTAAATTTTATTCTTTGTTTCTTTGCTTTTAGATTTTAACATTAACCTCCAGTGTTTCCTTATCTTGAATTTTGAAATTTAAAATTCCTCAGTTCCTGCGCACATTACTCTTTCCATGAAATCAAGCCCTTTTTTTAAGTTTATGCATTTTAATACTGTTTCTGTTGCAATTAGATCGTGGGGTGGGAATAAGGGGTAGGGCTGGGGTTGATTTGGGTATTCTTAATCTTAGGTTGGGGTAAATTTGGGTATTCTTTGTTTCTTTTATTCCTTTTTCTGTGTGAAGCATTTTGTGCTATATTTTATGTATGAAAAGTGCCGTATAAATAAAGACTGATTGATTGATTGATTGATTGAACAATAGTAGTGAGGGACAGGCCAAAAACCTCCCCCTTATCAGCATAAAAGTAATTTTAATTATTTAAAATGATATTGAATTGACTTTAATTTGATGTTGTATTAAGGAGAGAAGACATGGTAATGTTATATTTTTAAATTACAAATTAAGTTGCTGTTATCATAATTTTATGAATGATTACTTCTTAGGGACGAAAAAGGCACACCTTGCTCATCTAAAACAAACATTAGCATAAAGAGTAACTCTTATGTTGTAAATTTTTATAAATTTCTGCTTTTAGTCGAATTAACGTTTAAGATAAACATGAAGCAGAAACGCTTTTCTTATCGTGTTATCGCGTTATTTTTAGCCTTTTGCCTGTAGTAGTAGTGATGGTGCAGACAGCCGCCTACATTTACCATACGCCCGTGACGCTCCTCTCCGAGACGCTTTAATAAGTGACGTTGCTTTCAGCCAATCAGAGAGCAGAACAGAGACATTGGCAGGTCGGTTCTGAGCTGAGGTTAGATTGTGCTGCTGAATATTATCTCGCCTGTCCTCTTACTGTTATAATGTTCAGCCGGAGAACAGGTGCGCGGATGCTGCACTGACCGCAGAGACACAGGAGCGAAAAGACTCGGGCAAAATAAATGGAGGCTGTTCACGTAAAGCCGAGGAAACGAGAGACAAACCCTCTCGAGGAGTCCAAACAGGTACCACGAGCGGCGTTGCTGGATGGACAGTATCACGCTGGATTGTGGACTCCTCTGTGTTAAGATGGACTGTAACTTAGGTGTCGTCACGAGACGTTGCGCGTTATCAGGAGCAAATGGTCGAGTTGAATTCAGCCTCTAAGTGTACGGTATGTGGATATATCATGTTGTGTGCGTTCAACACGTTGCCTGAGAGCGAGGCTGGAACAGGTCACTGGTTCACTGCATCCATAATTTAGGTAAGCAGACAGTATCTTTATTTTCTGCGGAAAAGCACTGTCACATGTACATCTTGACACAACACGTCTTTGTATTTGACCACGATGCTTTCAAACTGAATCAAGGTTACATCTGAGAATGAGTGTGCATTGGCATCTTAGTGCTGCTTTTACAGTGCCAGGGATAAAAGAGTTATCTATCAGGATACTACATGATGCACACGGTGGTAAGGATCCAGTATTAATATTTGTGTGTGCCTGTGCGTATGCGTGTGTTTACACCACACCTTGAAAACCGCCGTAGAGTTCAAACTGATCTTTTTGTGTTGTTTGGGTTATAAAGCAGCGACAGTCACTGGCCTAATGGGCTTATTGGGATGAGCTCTGTTACCTTCTGTTCCTTTGCTGTGTGCAGATAAACAATTTAAATGCTGGTGCCAATGCTGCTGTAAATCACAAGTAATATTTTACTTAGTATTTTCTGTACTGGATATAAAAAAACAATAACTGTTTCTCCCCCATGCAGTAAAATGTGCCTAAACTTTGTACTTTTAATGCTATAATTTATCGTTATGTTCAATTTCACTCAATGCTACATCAATAATTTGATCTGCATTCAATAGCAGTTGATGTTTGATACACTGTCACTTCTTGCAATGGCAGAGACCTGTGTGTGTAGATGTGAAGTTACTGATTTGAACTCCTGCACAATAAGTCTGAGCACTTCCCACCTTCTTGAGCTCATGAGCAAAGCAGTTCAATTGCTGTCCTATGCTGAACAGTCTTAAACAGAGAAGTATCTTGCCTTGGTTAATTGCACCAGAGTGTTGATCAGAGCCATGTTCAGTTGTATCCCTGCAGACAGTAATTTCTAAGTCTGTCAGCATACATAGTAGGAGCACTCAAATCCAATGAATGAGGAATACAAATATGGCTCTTAGCACTGTTCCAGACATCGCATGGCAAAGAGTGTGAAGTTAACTGTCACTTTAGAAAATGGTTCATAGTGCCTTGTTCAGAAGTGTCTGGTAGAGACTGAGGGGACCTGTTTTTGAAGTTGTGTACTGCAGATGATAAATATTCATCTGTGCAGATGGTCGATCTATTTGACTCAGACTTCTTCGGACGAGACTTCAGCAAGCTGCTGGAGGCGCTGTTGGTGGTACCAAACCCAAACATGTCTCTGTCACCAGAGCATAGAAGCAGATGGTTAGAGATGCAAACAGTCAACATCAGACAGCATCATGTTTTATCTGTCTATATAGTAAATTGATAATGATATGTGCGGTGAAGACTTGGATTTCTGCAGAGTTTCACTCAGACCATTGTGCTGATTATATGTATTATCTAGAAGTCTGGATTGTGTCCGTCTACTCGGGTTAAAAGTCACTGATTGGAGGGTGAATTCGGTCTGTTTGAAATCTAAAATAACTCTGTGTGGTGTGAATCAGAGGCTCTTAATGCAGCTGGACAGGGGCTGCCTTGTTTTTGGAATGAGATAAGAATTAGCCCAGGGCAGCAGTGTCAGAGCTCGTGATGGACATTTAGACAGGGAGCAGAGAGGACAGTGTGAGTACGTTTGTGTGTGTAAGTGTGGAGTGCAAAATCATTACCATGCTGCAAGTGAAAGATAAGGAAATCTGTCAGATTCCCTACAGAAGCTGCTACAGACATTTCACACTATTTTTAAAAGTACATGGTATGTCAAGTTATAGCTACTTACATCTGCAGCGAATGCATACATCTATTTAACATTTTAACTCTACCGCTTTAAGTCAACTACACTGGGGGATATGTATTAAGGCTGCTATGCATTCACATGTGATGCAGATGGCTTTTCCCAGTCAATTAGAAATCCTGTTTGACAGAAATTCATGTTGTTTTTGATCAACACTGCTATGAGGAATACATGCCATGCCAATGAGATAGCTAACCTCCACAAATAGCCTCTGGTATGAAAGCCTCCCAGATGGTCTGTGCAGTACTACTGATGAAGTGGAAGAAGCTTGTAAATAGAGAATTAGCATCTTTTCAGATGGAGGAATATGGAGGGTCTGGGGTCAGTCTTATATGGGAAGTAAGAGTCAAATCCAGTGGATCACTCCTGCAAAGATTTGCACATGGCTTAAAGCAGTGCCACGAAGTGCGGTGTTCAGAAATCTGTGTGGAAAATGAGAGAAACGAAACAGTCAGGTAAAGCTCTTCAGTTCATTCTGGCGGCTTCAGCACAGAGTACCATCGCTGCAAACTAAAGTAGGCCTTTTTATAATTATGCTGCACATGTCTGATTTGATTTGTGTAGGTATGTAGGTTAAAGCATGATCAAAAAAGGATTTGGACCAGGATTATGAGTTTATGCACATACATGAGTGATAATTTACAAGAAACTGCTCGACATGATTGCCAAACATGTGCAAGGTAGTTTGTGTGACCTCTTTGCTATACATGCACTTTGACGGTCAGCAGTTCCGGGCTATGCTACCACAAAATATCCTTTTAGAGTAAATTTCAGGGACTTCATTAACAGTTCAAACATCTTCCTCCTTGTACAACTCTGAAACCTTTCACCCTCGGGTTATCTGCAAATACTGATTTTATTTATTTATTTTACCAGGCCAGCACAGTTTTTGACCCAAATTCAAAAGCTGTTTTCCTCCCTTGGTAAAATCATATTTTAAATGAAGTAGCATAATACCAGGACTTACTGTGGTGCTACAAACAAGACTGGCCACCTGCCATGACTTAATGAACAGAACTGACACTGAAAATGCAGATTTTTATGAAGCCAAGGTTTAATCACGAGATCTACTAAATATGATTTTAAGACTTTGTCCCCAAATTAGCAGGTACTATCTTTTCTTTTTATTTTCTTTACCGTTTTTGTACCTATTTTAGCTTTCTTTTTAATCAGTTCAAAGTAAAATACAGAAGGCTGGAGGCAGGAGAACCTGGGATTTTATAGACTAATACCATATTGAGAGGGATTACCAGTTCTTATATGATTGACCAAAATCAGGGATGTGTAAGTGCTCTTATTTTAAGCCAACAATAACCTGCTTTTGATGAACAATATATCATTTTTCATTTTTATGTTTTGGTTATTCTGAAGTATGCAATTTACACACACGCCCAAGGTAAGAAAGGCTGAGATGTAATGAGCACTGTATAAATAAAGATTGATTGGTTGAAGAAATTTGTGCGTTCATAACAAAATCTGAGTCACTGATGCTGTTGTAGACCAGATTCTGAACTTGTACAGGGCGGGCAGAGGTCCATCTGCAAAGTTGCTGTAACTTTTTTTAAGCACACCATTAGCTGGTGAACTCCCTGGCCCTGTGCCTTAGACAAAGGTGGGTCATAAGCTGCTGTAAATTCAGTGATAATAACTTCAGTTTTGGTTTTCTCCGGTAAACTTTATGCACTTTACAGCTTGTTGAATCATCCCTACAGCACTTGTGTTTTAGGTGCTGTTGCATATTTCTTCAATGCGTCCTTGTCAAATTAAGACTTAATGCCTTAAGATATCCATTGGAAACTTTTTCTTCTTTGCGGAATACTTGCAGCGCATGATTTTCTAATTACAATTGTGTTATCCTTCTCCAGAAGGGTGAAAGACATTCAAAGAGGTAACACTTGTTGAAGCTGCTCTTCTTTCTCTCAGTAAGAGATGGCAGTTCCCATTTTGCCACCTACTGTGTCAGACTGTGTAGAGTTGCTAATAAGTGCATGAATACCACTTTTATGGGTTGTTTTTAATAGATAAAATTGTGCAAACTGGATACTAAGTGATGTTAAAATATTCCTGATAAATAATGTATTAGTGCGAGACAGCGAAAAAAAAAAGCCATATAAAAACAGACCTGTCTGATGTAAACTCTGCAGTGATTTTACTCAGATAGGGGTACTAAGGAAGCTGCTGAATTCCAGAATAATTCATATGAGAATGATAATAACTTTGTTGTCTCATAGTTAATCTTGATTGGACCAGGTCTCCACTGAGCTGTGATGCTCTACATGTGCTGAAGACAGTGCTGAGTGTATGGCTCACTCTGTTGATTTTTTTGGTACGTATCGAGAGGCTCGTGCTCAGATTCCATTAAAGCTTTAACAGGATAATATCAGCTCAGTATTATTAAATTATAAAATATTGCTCAGGCTCAATATGCATCCTGGGCTAAATAGTTTCAACATCAACACCCTGAGCTGCACATCAGTCCCAAATCCAACTCCCTGTGGACTTGTTCCATGGTTTTCTTGTTTTTGATGTCAGTTTAAAGCAAAGTAGCATCACTATGAGAACGCTGATTTGGCCTCTCATGTTAAATGTTTGATTGTTCCAGCATCTCAGTGTTTTGTCTCTTTCTCTCTCCTAGGATGACGCCTGGTCAAACCTGCTCGTTCTCCTCCTCCCTCATTCCTCACCCGGTCTCCAGAGTTCAAACGCTTCGTCAGCAGACTGCGTGCTCCTGAGCTCCTGCCCTGACCCTCCCTGTTTGGCTTCCTGGCAGACATCCCGGAGGAGGTGATGCGACGGTTCGTCTACTGTAAGGTGGTGCTGACCACCTCTTTGGTTTGGGTGCTGGTGGACGTGTTCCTGCTACTCTATTTCAGTGAGTGTAACAAATGTGACGATAGGAAAGACCGCTCGCTGCTACCTGCGCTCCGAGGTGAGTCCACACCACAGCTGCAACACCTATCCTCCAATTAACAGAGCGGAGTTTTCAGGGAGCCATTAGAAGGTTGTTCTCTTTCTCCCTCATGCTCCCTAGAGGGAACTTATGAGTAAATTTAATGTTTGGGAAGTTAAATGTTGAATTTTTTCATCATGGCTGCGTTTTTAGCTTTTAAATGGGTGAAACTCTTAGGTTTCTTAAAGCCAAATTACAGTCTTTTTTCATTGATATCCAGACTATTCTGGTATTACAGTTACTTTGCCCTCGAAGCAACAACCTGAATACATATTCTTTGGAGAAATATTTTTTCCTACTACAAGGTTCTTTCAGGGTAAAATCATAAAAGGTTGGAGAAACAGTTAGAATTTAAAAACCTTATGATGGCTGTTATAACGTAAACAATACATTTTGACTGTCAGAGTGTTCTCATTTTTTCATCCTGCATCAGCCTCGTTTCAGCCCCAAATAATCCCTAATAAGATCAAGTAGGTGATTGACCTGTAGTAAAGCTCGAAACACTGCATGTGTTTTGTGTTTGCTCGTAGCCCTTCCTCCGATCAAACTTAACCGCTGCGCCGTATTAGCTGAGTTCATTTCCTCACATGACCTACAGTAAGTAGGTTTCTAAGAGGCTTGCTAAGCAGCTTTTAGGTTGAAAGGATGCAGAGCTGCCAGCTACTGAGACTGAGACTACTCTTCTCCAATACTTATGTGACCATGCTTATTAAGTGTCCTATCTGATAGTTTTCCTTCTTGATGATCAAAGATCTCATATTTACCTGATACCTCATATAATATCTGATTTATATTGCAGGTTAAGTTCATTTTCTTACATTATAATAGAATGAGATGACTATTTCTAGCATCCTCACCTTTTAATTGCATCATTTACCCCCGATTAATAATACTTGAACCTCTCTGCTGGGTTACATTAAGTTAATGCTTTTGGTTTTAAAACTGGTCATATTGTATTTTGTAAAGCTGTCAGAGACTCACTTAGTCATGCTTTTGTTGCATTGAAGTGGCAAACTCAATAACTCCCATAGCTGTACAGTCTCGTATTCATGATGAGGTTTTCTGTCCCTCTGTTGATGAAGAACTGTTGTATCAAACAGGATTGAGAAATACCATGCAAAGTAAGCTCTGTGGTAATAAACCAAAAAAGGTTTTGCACAAGAAATAAAGGAGGAAGATGAAGATGAGGATTGTTCCTGCTGTCTGCAGTGAAGTCGTATTTTATACCCCCAACTGCTGATGAAACTACACTGTGAAATATTGAAACTGTGATGGATGTGAAGACATTTCACCTAATGAAGATTTCACCTATTACTCTAACAGTTACAAAAAAGTCATTCAAAGTTCTGTGTCCAACCACTTCACACAGATTTCTGCATCCTTTCAGCTCAGTTTAGTGTTAAGGTAGCTTTGTCTGTTTGCCATTGGAAAGCTTACTTGTTGGAAACATTTGGGTCTAGCTGGATGAAAACCCCTCTGAATGATATAAAACCAAAACAGTGAGCTAAAATAAGTTGCGATTCAGTCATTATCCAAAGTATGTGTCCACGTAAAGGATATTTAGTAAAAATAAGATAAATGGGTAAATAAGAAGAAAAAAAACCTTCTAGCAACAGGACAAGGACTGTCAGGGAACCTTAAATAGAAAAAAAACACTATCAAAGATCCTGTGAGGAGTTTTTATGGACTTGTGAAATAGACTGAAATGAACAGTGATGCATCTCTAGGATGTGCAAAAGCCAGAGTCCATTGAAGCCAAGATTGACAATGTATATACAGTAGGAAAAGTAAGTATTGTTAGTTATTCATAAATTTTACTGTGAAAAGGACTTTTTTTTTTGTAAATTCATGCCTCTTTCAAATGAAATATAAGTTACCACTTTGACCACAGGTGGTGCCAAAGTCAAGACAGACAGACAGACAGTTCCTCACTGGAGCTTTAAACAACATAAAACTACATTAACAAACTTTGAACAATGTTCAAAATTGGCAAAGGAGAGCTGTATGTGCCGGGTAATATGAGTGCAAAATGCATCAGTGTAAGTACAAGATATAAGGCAGTTTGACTGAATATTTATGATACGTGATTTAAGCTTTTTTAGATATATTAAAATCACTGATTACTGCTGTATTCATTGTACAAGCCCATAGATTAACATAATTTACCGTATTTAAGTCCATTATACTGTTTTACTCCATTAAATTATCTCTGAGCGAGGTCATTGATCCAAAGATTGTCTATGTGAGGCGAATAATGACCATTTCCTTTTTTTAACTGGTTAGGGAAGCTCTGTACTTCATTTCAGTGTTTCTCAGTTCAGCGATAATTTGCTCTATGGCCACTCTTTCTGTATGAGATTTTGTGATTCCCAGAGTCAGTTTGCATTTGTGCTGTTTATTAATAAGTGAGGAACAGGATGTTATATTGGTCCAAAAACTACAGGTTCTTGTCTACAGGTTCTTCATACCCAAGAAAACCCTCTGAAGAATAACTGTTATGACAAAGGTGTGAACGCCTCTCATGCATAGTGAACTGGTCAGCAAGAACAAGGTCTCCCTTTTATAGCAATCTCATCTTTAGAAACACTCACCCATTAAACCGTCCAGTTGGTTTCCAATCAGTGTCTGGATGTGGTAGGAGTTTATAAAAGGAAGTCTCTCTGTGAAAAATTGCTTGCCCTCTCTTTTTTGCTCAGTTCAAGGTAGGATGTGTTACTCTGATAACCAGCGCTGTGCAACATCAGAGTGAGATTTTTGAAGTTTCACCCTGAGACACTTGGATCCCCTGGGAGCATCAGTGAGACTCCCACTGGTCTTTATGGGCTTTAACTTATCACAGTGAAGCAATTTAGGAACAGAAAGGAGCAGTGGCAGAAGGCGCTATTTTTTTTTTTACTTTTGCTAGGTTCAGATTTTTTATTGGCAAGAATTTCCCTGGAAATCTAAAAAATCTCAAGATTGAACTGAAAAGGAATAATGAGACGATAGAAATTGGTAGTCAGTGAACATAGCTCTATTTCTGCCTGTTCATAGTCACATTGAAAGAACTCGAGCAAGACAGACTTAGAACAAAACTAGACAACGAGTATGTGCAGAATAAGATAGGCTGGAGATGCTCATTTATAAATAAATGATTGAATGAATAACAGCAGCGGAGGTGGGCGGAGCTCCAAGACGAGCTCAGGCATCAATGAGTCTGATGGGAGTTGGCACAAAGATAGACACGGCATGTTTTGTTTTGTTTGTGAGAAGAAAACATCCGAGTTAAGTGTTAGAGAACATCGAGACACAGTGTTTAATGCATCGTTTCAGTGTTTTTATCTTCAGTAACGCTTATGTAAAAGAAACAAATGCACCTTTTCTGAAAAAGCAGTGTTGTGTTCGTATTGATGGCACACAAAAGCTCAAGAAGCTGAGATAGAAACATCTCAGTCGTGATGCCTCAGGGTGTTCATGGACCATCCTCCTCTCAGAAGCAGCCTACAGTTTTCCAGGTGCTCATTCCTCTGTAGCAGATATTACTCTTAAATGTCATACAAGCCTTCTGATCCCAAATGCCCTGAATCTCTCTCCTTTCCTCACTCGGGCGCATACATACATACATAGTTAGCTGCCGTCAGGGTTATGATTCATATCAGAGTAGCGTAGTACTCTGCAGGGTGTTTGTTCCCAGCATGCAGTCTTGTTTGTTCAACAGGAGCTTCTCTGATATGGAACTCAACGCTGGCTGGGTCACATTCGCAGGCAGGAAACTGAGCCCAGCAGCAAATCTGCAGTAACACTGCAAACCTTTACATCTTAAAACTGACATTATATTATAAAAACATTTCTTCTTGCTGCTTATTGTATTTATTTTGTTCTAACATTATGTTTCATGCGGCTCATGCATTTCTTCTACATTTTGATCCTCTTCTCAGTTTATCCTCTGCTGTCTTCAACATCAACCAAAGCTTAAAATGAACTTTATACAAACATGAAATGAGTTATTTTCTCAACAGTTCTGTTAGTTGTGTACTGTTTCCTCATCTAAACTTGACTTTCATGTATTAATAGTATAAAAAAGCAACCTCATGACATGGCAAGTTTTAAGATTTGCACATGTGCAGTTACTTTGTCAGAGTTATGAGCTTATGAATCACAATAGTGGACAGGTAGACGGCGGCATGTGACACTTTATTTTTGTCCAGCACTGAAATATGAGTTATTGTGTCTCTGCAGACTCATTACCTGTGAGTGTGAGAGAAAGCTTTTGGCTGTAATTGCTTTGATTAAGCAGCAGGCAGGAACCTTGAATTAGATTGATTGACCTGAGACAGGACAGGGACCAGTGTTTTCCTCCAGGATGATCAGGGTCATCTTCAATAATTACGATCTGTGTCAGGAGGAGAGCAAACAGAGCTCTAAAACACCACAGAGGTTTGCCTTCGAATCTACTATGAACTTGATTCATTTGACCCTGATATATAGCCTAACTGTGTGCGTCTTTTTACAGTCGGTATGGATGATGCAAAATAATATGTACCAAGTATACACTCACCGGCCACTTTATTAGGTACACCATGCTAGTAACGGGTTGGACCCCCTTTTGCCTTCAGAACTGCCTCAATTCTTCGTGGCATAGATTCAACAAGGTGCTGGAAGCATTCCTCAGAGAGCTTGGTCCACACTGACATGATGGCATCACACAGTTGCGGCAGATTTGTCGGCTGCACATCCATGATGCGAATCTCCCGTTCCACCACATCCCAAAGATGCTCTATTGGATTGAGATCTGGTGACTGTGGAGGCCATTTGAGTACAGTGAACTCATTGTCATGTTCAAGAAACCAGTCTGAGATGATTCCAGCTTTATGACATAGCGCATTATCCTGCTGAAAGTCGCCATCAGAAGTTGGGTACATTGTGGTCATAAAGGGATGGACATGGTCAGCAACAATACTCAGGTAGGCTGTGGCGTTGCAACGATGCTCAATTGGTACCAAGGGGCCCAAAGAGTGCCAAGAAAATATTCCCCACACCATGACACCACCACCACCAGCCTGAACCGTTGATACAAGGCAGGATGGATCCATGCTTTCATGTTGTTGACGCCAAATTCTGACCCTACCATCCGAATGTCGCAGCAGAAATCGAGACCCATCAGACCAGGCAACGTTTTTCCAATCTTCTATTGTCCAATTTCGATGAGCTTGTGCAAATTGTAGCCTCAGTTTCCTGTTCTTAGCTGAAAGGAGTGGCACCCGGCGTGGTCTTCTGCTGCTGTAGCCCATCTGCCTCAAAGTTCGACGTACTGTGCGTTCAGAGATGCTCTTCTGCCAACCTTGGTTGTAACGGGTGGTTATTTGAGTCACTGTTGCCTTTCTATCAGCTCGAACCAGTCTGGCCATTCTCCTCTGACTTCTGGCATCAACAAGGCATTTCCGCCCACAGAACTGCCGCTCACTGGATATTTTTTCTTTTTCGGACCATTCTCTGTAAACCCTAGAGATGGTTGTGCGTGAAAATCCCAGTAGATCAGCAGTTTCTGAAATACTCAGACCAGCCCTTCTGGCACCAACAACCATGCCACGTTCAAAGTCACTCAAATCACCTTTCTTCCCCATACTGATGCTCGGTTTGAACTGCAGGAGATTGTCTTGACCATGTCTACATGCCTAAATGCACTAAGTTGCCGCCATGTGATTGGCTGATTAGAAATTAAGTGTTAACGAGCAGTTGGACAGGTGTACCTAATAAAGTGGCCGGTGAGTGTATATGCAAAACACATACCTCAGTCATTAAAACAACTTTCATATTTTGAATCAGCTGTATTTGCAGCCCAGACTGCATCCATCTTTGGCTGTTTGAGCTAAATGACAACATGTTAGCGTTATACTTGCATGGTTTCACTTAGTTGTTGCAAGTTTGTTACTGTCCACTAGGGATGGGCGATAAATTATCGTTCATGATATTGCGTCAGAAAATCCTCCATGATAAATATTTGCCACCATATGATAAATACAATAAATGTAAGTTGATGACATAAGCGCAAGAGACAGACTCGCAGCCATAACCCACGCAGAGCAGGATAACAAACAAACATGGCCGAAGGTAATGCAGAAGACATCTCTGAGCAGCCTCAGATTGGGGCTTAGATGAGTTCAATCAGGTATCAGGTATGCCTGACATCGGACAGTGGATCTGCTGCTGCTGTTCACTCTGTGTAATCAGAGTTTTCAAAAAATGTTGAAAATGTTTTCACATTTGAGACTTGTTTGATATCATTAGTTTTCTCCATAACCTACCACTCAAACTCGTGATTAAGTATCTTATTTGACTATTTCAACTGGTGTTCTCAAGACAAAATGAGTCAAAAATATAGATTGGAATCATAATATTTTTTATCAGGACTTTTTGTTATTGCCAGAATGGCAAATCTTATTGTGTTAAATTTTTTAGCCCATATTGCCCATCCCTACTGTACACCAGCTTATTTAACTTTGAATGAGTTTGAATCCTCATACCTGCTTATTAGCTTCTTACTACCTTAGTACAATCAAGCCTGGTGCTAATATCATAAACCACAGTGCTTTACAGATCCACACTCTGACTGGATGCTGGCTTCAGATGAAAAGTAAGAAGACACATAATTTCATGTTATGTCTGTAAAGATAATGCACTCTGGTAGCACAGCCTCCAGGCTATGCTACATGCATACTCAAAGGTTAAAAGAGGCAGCTGAGGTCAATAATGAAAGCAGCACTCGAGTCAGTGAGCAGTAGTCTTGACTGAGGCACTAATGGAATACATCTCATTATTTTGTGCAAATTTCACGCTATCGTAAATATGCAATACATAATTCTGACAGAGTCTCAGCTATGTTTGAGTGCAGCGCCGTGTACTACATTTATTCATGCTTTAAAAAAATCATACCTTCACAGATATCTTATAATTTACAGGCTGTGATTAAGACCTTGGAAGGCTGAGGTAGAGTAGGGATAAAATTGACCTTGTTTTTTTTCTAAACTTGAGGACTGTCTCTTGCAAAATGTACTCTGCATTCTGCTCTCTGCAGGTTTCCAGAGTTTGATTAGAAACTGTTGATGTAATTTCACATTTTGAAATAGTCCATAGGGTTAAGCTGAGGTGACCCAGACTGGTGTCGACGGTTCACCGGATGTTCTGGTGTCTGAATTGACGGTATAGATTGGAGAGGCTGAGCATTTGTTCTCATCAGCAGCACTCTGTTCAATCATCCAGCTCAGCTCTGGAGCTGTGTCCATCACATTTAAGCCAGTGTCCAAATGGAGAGTGTCAGCGGCAGCATAAAGAAAAGAGCAGGATCAGTTTAAGGGTTAACAATCCTGTGAACAAATGCCCTGCTCCACAAGGGGTCGTAGGGAATCCTCTTAACCTGGGGCCATGCTGCTAATGTGAACTGTGTGTCCCCCTTTTATGGAAATCACTGCCCCTGCTGTAAGAGATTATTGTGGCACAGACAGTAATAAATCCATGGCAGGTTATCTACCTTTGATGAAGGGAGCGGCTCTGCAGCCAGAAAAGCAACAGCAGCCACGCTAAATGGTGGCGTTTGACTCGAGGAGAGAAGAGGAAAGGATTTGACTTCTGTAGTTCTTTACATCTATTGAAATATTCCCCCTAAATCGCTGAATTCAGACCCTACTAATAGATTAAACTAAAATTAAATATAGCTTCCGGACTATGCAGTGCCTTAATACCCACTCAGCCCAAGCCACAGCAGCCAGGAGAGAGCTTAAGCAATAAGCACAGTGCCGGCACCGTCTCTATTAAATGTCTTACACTGTTCACTGATGTGTGAGGGAGCATATTTTCCTCCCAGTGCAAGTGAGAAAGCCATCACACTCTGTATGTGCAGTGTTATTAGGTGTTATTAGGTGTTATTAAGGGGAATGCAGCATACTGTACACACGTGCACACACCCTGTAAACATACCTCTAGTGCAGGAATTGCTATTAAAACACATAGCAGTGCATTACTACAGGCACACTGGTCTGGAAAATTATGTTTATACCGTGGCGCTTTACTATCATAGGAAATCACATTTTACAGAGCATAGAGGGAGAGACCCAGCATGCTTTGCAGCACTCTCCTAGAGAGACACATAAAAGGCCCTGCAACTGTGATGTCCACTTCAGAAATGTACGTCTCTTATCAGCCCAGTGCTTCAATACGAGTCAGAGATTTTGTTGTTTTAACCCTTTGTTGTGCTCCAATGTGAGATTACAGGCACATCTGTTTCTCAGAACAGCAGATTATGTATTTTTTTTAATGATTAAAGCCTCTTATTTCTAACATTTATGTATATGTATATTGTTTGCCTCCACCAAAGTGTTATTTGTAGACAAACTAGCTCTGTATTTTAGATTTGTTTATCTAGTTTGAACCCGGGGTTCACTGAGTTCTCGACACACCAGAACTCTTTTTTTTCCACGCTGGTGAGAACAAGGCCCAGAGCCAACAGACTCGGGTCAGTGAGGTCAGTCAGTTCTCATTACTCTCAGTCCCATTAAGGAGAGGAAGTGTCGAGCACTTGTAATTTAGTGGGCTCTAATAACTTGGTAGCTCCTCTCATAATGTTTCCTTATCAAGAGATGACCTTATATACGCAGTGATTTATTTTACCGCGCAGGTTGACATTCATTTCTTCCCTCTCTAGTCAGAAAAAAAGGAACAGCGTTGCTGATTCCTCATCAGGTTTCCCTTTTTTTTTTTATCCACCTTACAGCGGTGATATCTCGAAGCCACGAGGGTCCAGGGGAGATGGGCAAAGCAGTGAACATCCCCAAAGATGACCAGGAGAAAATGAAAGAGCTCTTTAAGATCAACCAGTTCAATCTGATGGCCAGCGACATGATCGCCCTCAACAGGAGTCTGCCGGATGTGCGGTTGGATGGGTGCGTAAGCTCAGGTTTTCTCCTACAGATGCACGCTGTGAATTCAACTGCTAATGCTTTACCACCTACACTCTTAAACACACACTTCTACACACACATCCAGGTTAACACAGTCCTCCTCACCTTGCTCTCTTCACTGGCTGGTAGATTTGCTGCCACATTTTATTTAACCTATATTCAGCCCCATTTAGATCAAAGATTATTATGGTGATTACTTTCATTGATTTTATTATTATGATGATTAATATTATTGTATAACATTATGATATATATTTAAATCATGAGTGTAGGAGAAGGGGTGGGACTAGATAAGTCTCGACTTCTTCCCACTCCTTTTTGAACATGGATAACTTTTTTTTTTGTATTCTTTACTTTTTTATTAATATAATTTTTTACATGTTCAAAATAAACTTCAATCAATCAATCAATCAATCTCTTTTTTAAGCGAAACCTGACCAAGTTCCAACAACACATGCACTCAAACTCGCAACAATACACAACAAATTTAAACAACAATAATCATCAGTTGACACTGTGACATTCAGAAAGTTTAAATTCAAGAGTTTTCACCAAAGATTTAAAAATCAATCAGTCACCAAGTTTTGCAGTTTAAATTCAGTTTGCAGATTATTCCACACAAAAGGAGCAGAGAACCTAAAAGTCTTCTTTCCCAGCTCAGTTCAGACTTTGGAAACAACAAACTGCACAAAGTCAAACGAATGCAAGTCGTGCAATCCCTCCTTCAAGATCAACAGAGAGGAAATGTACTCCAGAATGTTGCAGAGAACAGCTTTATGAATGAAGATATACCATCATACGAAGATATACCATCATACCAATGACCAAGGCAGCGTGTACGTAGAGAAGTTAAGTAAACTTTAGAATCTAAAGTACACGCTTTCTAGCGAATGAAGGCTTTGAGCAGAGGCATTCATGTACAATACATCTCCATAATAAAGAACAGGTAAAAAAGTAGACTCACTGAGTCTCCTTATGACATAAAAGAGAAACAAGACTTATTCTCTGTAAAGGAAGCTAACCAAGACCTTCAGCTTTTTAGCAACATACTGAATGTGCTCCTTAGAGGACAAGTTTTCATCTAGTGAAAACCTAGTTATTTAAACGAAGAAACCAGCTCGATTTCTTGACTGTCTTTAGTGACAATTTTCACGGACAGAGATCTTTTCGTTGCTCTTGAAGATATGAAGAACATGAGTTAAGTTTTATCTGTATTTATAACAAGCTGCAGTTGGCTGATCTGATCGTGGACTAAATCAAAAGCATGCTGAAGATTTACAACAGTTTGTGCAGACGTACTTACATACTATAAATGCACAGCAATACAGTATCAACAGCATAAAAGTGAAAGTAATCGTTTGGAACATTTTGTCCAAGACTATCAATATAAAAAGTGAATAAGAGCCGTCCCAACACTGAACCCTGAGGAACCCCCTTACGGATCAGTAAAAACTCAGATGTGACACCCTCTGATTGAAGAGCCTGGGTCCTGCCTCTAAAATAGTTTGTAAACATGCTCTGAGAACCCAGAGGCTTTAAGACCTTCCAATAAAAATTCTGCAGTCCACAGAGTCGAATGCTTTAGAAAATCTATAAAAAGAGACACACAACACTGTCTCTTATCCAAGGCCTTCAGAATATCATTAAAAACGTTCACAGCAGCAGTGGTACTACACATTATAAACTACTAAGTTCTCCATAAAGCTGACATTTCAGCTGATGCCGTCTGTCTTTTGCTTCTTTATTTTTTATTTTTGTGCGTTTCCTCCTCTGAATGTGGCAGACTTTCACACCCGGCTCATTAAAAAACTGTTGCAGTGTTTAGACAAATGTTTTTTAATGACTCAGCGAGGCACTAGAGGTTTTCAGTCTACTCCTAAAAAAAAAAAAAAAGTCTCAGCACAGCATCAGAGGCTGACTGTTTTTGCAAATGAGCTAATCCCTTAAATTTGATTTTGCTGGCTGGAATATTTATTTACTTTTTATTGAATTTTTCATACCAAGATGTCTGTACACAAGGATCCCGAGAGAGTAACTCCTGATCACACAGCACCATCAAACATAAACTTTTCACACATCACAGATTCCTTGATTAGGAGAACAGATGCATAAATTAAAGTCACGTGGGGAATTTTAAAGGAATATTTCACTAATTCTGAAGCAAGGTCATTTGAGTTCCATGTCATAAGTAGGTGTACCAGCCACAATGGATGCCCGTCAACTTTTTCCCCTTAACTGAGAAACTGCTGTCAGAAACTGTACGCCAGGTATGCTGCTGTTTTTAGCAGACGGGGCCGACTCTGCTGCATAATTTAACTCATTTTGAGAGACTCTGAACCAAGCGCTCATCTTGGTTTTTTTGCTCTTTGCAATCAGAAAGCTTTTTGTTTTTGCTCTATTTGCAGACAAAACACACAGGCATGATCAGCTAATAAGGTCTTTGATGTTCAAGTCTCTGATATATTCGGAATTTTTGGATCTCAGCTTTTTACGATGTTAAGCACTGAGGGCCTAGAATCACCAGCAGACACGTTAATATGTGAAGAGTTTGTAATTTCAGCTCGGTTTCCTAATTAAGCAGCTAACACAGTGTATTTGAAAAAGGTCAACACATCCTGTGGACCATGGGTTATGTAATTATGCAGTCTCAGAACAATGAGAGCCTGATGATATGTTTGATTCCCAAAGATCTAAAAGTGCTGTTGTTACCAGGTTTCACCTGGGACAGCATGTAGTTCTCTGGGTTTGTGGGTACTAGCCCAGGGTTTACACACCTGCACCAGCAGGTCACTCTCTTCTCCTCTCTGGTTTGCATCGAGGATTTTCTGCATTGAGTTGCCTTTTTCAACTATAAGCTTCTGCTCATAAAGGTGTCTACAGCATGTCACAGGCACCGTCAGAATCACTTATTATCCAGTTTGGCTGTACTTTTGTCCCTTTATATCCGCTGCCTTGAACATCCGATCAGTGCACTGCATGCAGACGAGCACGTCTGTGTTGTGTCGGCAGAACAAATGAGCTTTCTAATGGCAAAGTGCTGAAAATTTTTCTTGGTAGAGTGCACACTTAAATCGAGATGAGCGCTTGGGTTAGAGTCTCTTATAATTAGCTAAATTACGTGGCAGCATCGGCACCATATGCCAAAAACTCCAGCATCCTGTTTCTATCAGCAGTTTCTCATGAGAAGAGCTGAGCTGACCGGCAGCCACAGTGTCTGGTACACTTACTAGTGATGTGTAACGCACACAACTTTGCTTCAAAACTCTGAAATATCCCTTTAATGTTGATTCTGTGGACCTCCTTGAACAGCATCAAACTGCATTTCCCCCAAGGTGAGGATTTATTGCTATTTACATATATTGTTCCTCCTCCTTTTCCTCTTGAAAGTCATGTTAAAAGTCATCTGTTGTTTCCAGCACTGCTTAAATGCAGAATCCATCAGATCACTTATCTGTTTGCATCAGGCCTGACATTTGAATGGGAGTTTGGTTTTGTGTACTGTCACTCAAGATCCACTTCAGAGCTTAATGAAAACTCAAGGAGCAGTTAAAGTGAAACACTAGCTCATGAGGCTCCTGATGCTGAAATGAAACCGCATTCTCCATACCTTTATCCTTTCAGTTTTTCTCTGCTGTTCTTTTCTACGACAAGAAATGCCAACCCAAGACTTTCTGTGGTGCAGGGATGCAAATACAAAGATCATTATGCCTGCAAAGTAAAAGTGAAGATCTGTTTTACTGAAAAAAAAAAACGAATATTCAGCTGATTGCAACCTAGTTATTCTGTCCATAATGGCTCCAACCTTCTCTCATTATAAATAATCCAGCAGCTTTACTGCAGAATACAGCAAAGCTGAGCAAATTTCACCATCTCTGCAGTGAAAATTATCCACATCAGTGCAGAACTGTCTTGAAGGCAACCTCCTGGCCTAGATGTGTCAGTCAGTGCCATCACTTTGAATAGACAGGACAAAACCAGCAATGCTGTCTGCTCCAATGGCTTCTTTCACCCTCTGCCACCTTCCACCACCCCTCCCTCTGCTCCGGCCGTCCACTTCAGTAAAGCAGCTCATTCTTTATTCAGCATCACCCCTACAGCGACGTCCTGAGTTTGACACGTTCTCACTTTTTGGGCTCTGACAGACATCCCATCAAGCTGTGGACTTGCTGACATTGCTGTCAACTATGGATTTACTTGTTTGACTTTCTTCTGGATTTTATGTTCGTAAATCTCACATGTCAATGCATTTGCACTGACGGCTGCATGAATAGCAGCAAGGCGCACAGATTCTTTTCTCAGACACATTTATTCAGAGTTACTAGCTGCAAGCCCAGAGTAATTTGGTGAATGCAGTTAAAAAAAAAAAAGCACAGGATTTTTAAATTTAGATTCAGTCCATTAAAAGTTAGTGTCTTTGTGGTGAAGTCATTACCTTTACAGCAACGGTTCAGGTTGGTATCCACTTACCAGCTGGAGTCTGTCTGCATGGTGCAGTTATTTTTTCACCCTCTGCCTTAAGATATGAAAGTTAGGAAAAATTGGCCCATAGGTTTGACTGTGGGTGTTATCAGTTTTTCAAGTGTTGCCACTTGATTGGCTGACAACCTGTCCAGGGCCTCATTAAATTACAGGTGGGCTCTGCGCCAAGCTCCACCTGAACCTCTCAGTAGTTTAAAGGGATATTCCGGCATAAATTTAAGCCATGGTCAAACAGTCCATAACACCGAGTTAGACACCATCTTTAAAAAGATGATTGTTGCTGACCGCTTGCTTCTCTAGTTATACCAACTTACTAGTATACAACTTACCAATACTAGTTACGACCGCACGATAGCAATACACAGCAATACAAACCTCAACTAAAACGCCACTCTATAGCCACAAATAATGATCAGTACAGCACCTAACTTCATCAACAGTACATATAGGGTCCCAGCCATAGGACTAGCCATCAAAAACCTTTTTTAACTTTGCCTGATTTCTTTAGCAAAGAGACACAACTCACCCACTCTCCTCCAGCAGTCGCTTGTTTGTGGGGGAGCCCAGACAAGTCAATCACAGAGTGCAGCCGATTATTTCCTTCAACTAATAATCATCATAATAATCATTTTGCACTGCAGACGTGGTAGTTCTTCTGCCTTAGCATCTCGGTCTGATTGTATTTCTATATAGTGATAATCATAAATGTTCTTCCTTGAGCTGCGAAACTCCGCTGCACTCTGTGATCGACTTTTCAGGGCTCCCCCTACAAACAGGTGGCTGCTGGAGGAGAGTTGGTGAGTTGTGTTTAGTCTCTTTGCTAAAGAAATTAGGAAAAGTTAAAAAGATGTTTAGTGGCTACTAGTACTATGGCTGGGACCCTATTTGTACTGTTGATGAAGTTAGGTGTTGTTCTGAGCATTATTTGTTGCTATAGAGTGGTGTTTTGGTTAAGGTTTGCGTGTGGAGACATTAACTGCTATGTATTACTATTGTGCGGTCATTACTAAAGTTGGTATAACTAGAGAAGCAAGCGGTCGGCAACATTTAATTCTCGAGGGGGTGTCTAACTCGGTGTTACAGTGTGTTTGACCCTAATTTAAATTTATGAAGGAATATCCCTTTGAGCAGTAGAAACGCAAGAGTAATGTTATAGTAAAGTTAAGGGTGAAAACATAACTTGATTTTCATAATTTTAATGAACCAACTTCACAATTGTTGTGGGTTGAATATGTCAATGTAAATTTAGGTTTTCTTTGTGTGAAACACAAAAAAGGTTTGACCTTGAAGGCCTCTGGCAAGTTAAGATAAAATGACTGATTGTGTATCTTTCTTAAATTCTCATGTGTTCATGTTCCTTCATCAGCTGTAAGACCAAAGTGTACTCAGACGATCTGCCAAACACCAGTATTGTCATCGTGTTTCACAACGAGGCGTGGAGCACCTTGCTGCGGACAGTCCACAGCGTCATCAACCGCTCTCCCAGACACCTGCTCACAGAGATCGTTCTTGTGGATGACGCCAGCGAACGAGGTTGGTTGACTACACTCCTGCTAATAAGAAGCTTGAATAATAAACATTATATAACGCTGATGGTGTCACAGATACAGAGCTGAAGTCAATGGTAGTGGATGAATGCTTTGACCTTGAAACTCTAATCAACAGTCTGTGAGTCACTAGTAATACAAGAAACAAGTAAACAATGGTGCTTTCACGACCACAGAAATCAGAGCAATCAATACTCAATCTACGAGCAGGGGAAAGCATATATTGTGCTGATTTATCTGAGATGTGTGGCTACAACCAAAACAGTTTCTGATGCAGGTTATTCCACCAAGCTTAATTTAACTTTTAGATCATATTTGTGATTGACAAAGTGGAAGGAGGAGATTTCTTTTGTACATGCACATCTGCTGAAATGTGTTTTTTCCCCCTCAGACTTCCTGAAGACGAAACTGGAGAGCTACGTGCGGACTCTGGAGGTTCCAGTGAGGATCCTGAGGATGGAGCAGCGTTCCGGTCTCATCAGAGCCAGGTTGAGGGGAGCAGCTGCTACCAAAGGTCAGGTCATCACCTTCCTGGATGCTCACTGTGAGTGCACTGCTGGTTGGCTGGAGCCCCTGCTGGCACGCATCAAAGAGGACAGGTAAGGTGAACTAAACGCACCACACTGATATTTTTGTCTGATGGGACATAACAAGCAGACTCACCTTTGTATTAGGACCAGTGGCTTTAGTGTTTTTGAGCTCCTTGTCATTTATTTAAGTCTTCTTCCTTTTCAGTCCTTAGTGTGTTTTATCAGAACCGCTAATATCACATTTCACTGAAGTTGCATTGTATTGGCTTGAGCTCTATCTGAATATTGAGAAGACAGCAAACTATCAGGATTGAATATACAGTGTGAGCCTGACGCTGCTGATAGCTGAAGATAATCATTTTTGCGTCGTCTGCCGCTGCTGCTGCTGCCTCAGAGGAAAAACAAGCTAACTTTAACTTTACTCTTTGGTGTTTATTCTGCTGCAACTGATTCAAGCTGTTGTGGTAAAAATCAGGATAAAAGTCAGAAACAGGTTCAGGAGGCCTTTTGTTATTTTTATTTTGACAGCAGATTTCCTCAGCCTCTTCAGTAGAAATGTTTTTTTTGTAGTTTAATTGCTGTTGTTTTTAGACCTCTAAGCTGTTATTTCAGGCTAGTTACAGAAAAAGAGGCTGTATTTGCTGTTTGTGGGAGTTTAACATTAACAGATGGATGGATTGGTAATGAATCACTTGTGATCCATCTCTTATCCGAGGTCAGACACATAAATTTTTCCCTTCAATTAAAATCACTACCATATGACTCAGAATATTATATAATGCAGCAGTTAAGCTTTTACAAAGTGCTACAACACTGATGTGTTAATGCTTATAAGTGATCAGAGAGTGCTGGGATGAATTTGCACCAATTTAGAATTCACATGGTTGATGATACAGAGTGCTGGGAGAAAGGCCGGTATCCAGTTTGTGAGGATAAAGTGTGATATGGTAGGAATCCTAGAGTAGCTCATGATACAATACAATATAATATGATACAGTATCTTATAGGGGTGGGAATCACCAGTGGCCCCAAGATACAATATTATCACAATACAATATTATTGCGATTTTTAACATTTTGCAATACAGTGAGTGTTTTGATACAATATATTGCGATTTATACAATTTTTTCAACTGTTTAGCTAATTTAGCATTTGTCTTTTCTCTATGTTTGTCTTATTTACGCTGTATTTTATTTTCATGTAGCACATCTTGCAAACCTTACGTATATTTTTGTTTTACTAACTTTCTCCTGCTCTATGATGTCACCTCTGCTGACCTCACTGGACAAACTGTTGATTTTATTTTTCCATTTTCATAGATTTGACTTCATAGTGGCATTTAATTTGAAAAATCTGTACTTGGTAAATGAGACGATACGATATATCACCAGACAAAATATCGCAATACTATGCTGCATCAATTTTTTCCTCCCACCCCCAGTATCTTAACATGCTACTATACAACATGGTACAGGGGTGATTCTGTATTATTTTAAGTAGAATATCAAATTAGCTGCCAGTATTATGGTAAGTGTGTTGCTCAAGTAGAGAGATTTGATTATTAAATTATTCTCCCGCCTCTTTTTGATAGTGAAACTTTATTGTGAAGCTTTTTGAGAATTAGTCTCAGCAAGAAAACAGCAGAAAGATTCAGCAGCTGCACCAGCTTTTAAAGTGGAAGTTATCTTGGGTTAAGGCCTGAATCAATTAGTCACTCACGCTTTTTAGCCCAAAGAAATGATTTACTATCAAGAAAATAACTACTGTTTTGTTCCTCCACTGAAAACGCCGATTGTTTGCCATCGACAGCATGCTGAGGATTCCTTTTCTCTATTTTATTTCACTTTAAATTAAACATCCCTTCAAGAAGATCTTGACAGTTTTTGCCTTTTGCTCTGTGGATCTAAAATAGCCTCTCTCTGCTACTGTCGACAGGCTTTGATTGACTGTTCATTCTTTAGCTTATCCTCACATTGAATCACACATTTATTTCTCTTCATCTCCCAGGACAGCAGTGGTGTGCCCTATCATCGATGTCATCAGCGATGAGACGTTTGAATACATGGCAGGCTCAGATATGACCTATGGAGGGTTTAACTGGAAGCTGAACTTCCGCTGGTACCCGGTTCCCCAGCGGGAGATGGATCGACGCAAGGGAGACAGAACACTTCCTGTCAGGTACAAAAGACATGTTTTCTTCCTCCTCTTGGGCTGAATTGTGATGAATTTCCAGAAGAACTGAAAAGAGACTTTCCACCTGTGTAGCATCTTTTGATTATGACTTAACATAAAGGAGGTGAAGGTCCATTTGTTTGTCTTCAGATGTTAGTTTATAGTTTCTCCTTTGAGCTGTGAGGGCAGGCATGAATGGTTAAATTTCTTCCAGAGGACCCTTTTTTTATGAAAGAGTGCCATTTTTATCTGTAGATGAAAATAGACCCATTTCCTCTTGTGTATCCCACTGATGCAAGCAATGTCCTAAATAGCACAAAGCTATGATTGTGCTCTTTTAAAGTCTAAGTATGGGTGATCTCATTTCACTTAAAATAGAAAAAACGCTGCTTTTTTTTCCCCACTCTCTCTTTGGCTCTACAAAACATGGCACTATTTGTCATCTGTATGCAAATTACTCCCAGCAGCAAACAATGTCCTCAATTAAGGGCCTGACTTTAACACAGAACAGATTAAAAGATACACTTAATTACACCTCTAAGGCTTTGTTCAGGATGTCAAACTAATTGATCTTTTATTATAATTATTGATACTACTAGTAATGATAAATACAGCTCAAAGAGGTGAAATACTGCAAAAGGCTCATTTGTGTCTCTTTCAGGACTCCAACCATGGCAGGAGGATTGTTCTCTATAGACAAAGCCTACTTTGAAGAAATTGGAAGCTACGATCCAGGGATGGACATCTGGGGCGGAGAGAACCTGGAAATGTCTTTTAGAGTGAGTTAAAGGCTGAGAGAGGAAAAGCTATCTTCATACCAGCAGACCTGGTGGATGTCATTGAAAACGTGCCATCTTTTCTTTCTTGTGACCGTGTTTTTCTTGGCTGCATCATTTCCTGGAATCACAGCGACTCCCCCAAAAGAGATTAAAGGAAAAAAGGCAAAGAAAAGCTGAATCCTTAATGTAGAAATCTTTCGTGAAATGAGATGTTGTTACCTCTCCAGCATAATTCAAAGCTACGGCTGCTCTGGTACAGCTGGATTAGTCAGCAGTGAAGACACTGTGATGTTCCCTCGGAGATGATACTCGTACATAATAGATGATGAAACAAGAACTAATAAAAGCACTGTTCTTATGTAGCACGTGTTCCTTTGGAGGTAAAAAGATTTGGATGTGTGAAGTTATAAGTCAGAGCACCTTCTATGTTCACAGCCAATGTCCTTTTTTACTTGTAAGTCAGTTTTTTTTAATTAAAAAAAACACAAATATCCTTATAATTGAAACGTAATTAGACATTTCACAATTATTTTTGGGGGCACAATAGGACAGGTGTTAGCTTAAAGCTGAATGTGTTTTCCTCCCATCACTCATTCATTTTATTTGCAGCTTCACATGCAACTAATTAGGAATTAAACTTTGTCAGACACATCGCAGCTGTGAAATTAAGAGATTGTGGGTACTATTTAATCAGTGAAAAACACAAGGTCTAAAGTGCATGGAGCGAAGTGAATTATGGTGTAGTAGGAGACCGTGTCGAGGGTGCCCTTGTCTTCTGGCATCTGCACAGCATCATAATGTAAATAATGTAATGTAGATGTAAATGGGTGCATCCCCAAACCTTCTGTTCAAGTTAATTTTTTTCTGTTATGGCAAAAACAGAGAGACTTTGGGGGGCTGCTGCATTCCTTTGCACATGTTGTCTTACTATCTCACTAATGTGCACTCTTAATATCAGGAAGGTGTTGCACCTCTGACTTCAGACTTCAGACCAGGTTTTTGTTGGTCGATGGCACAGATGCTTTGTGTATCCTTGACTACTGCTAATTATCAGACTAGCATACCAACAGGCACTAATGACGGCACAAGTTCACTTACTTATTCAATAAAACTTGAATGAGAAATGAGAGATTACAAAGAGTCAACTTTAATGTGTGGTGAACCATGGGGAAAACAAATGTATTTCTCATGAATGCAGTTTGCTCTCATTAATTAATTACTTATAACTAAATGTGGGATATGAAAAAAAAAACTTTAAAGAAATTGATTTTTTAAGACTAATTAACTAGTTAGGTTTACCCTTATCGTTTTCAATGCTTTAATGCTTTAAACCAGTGTGTGTGTGTGTGTGTGTGTGTGTGTGTGTGTGTGTGTGTGTGTGTGTGTGTGTGTGTGTGTGTGTGTGTGTGTGTGTGTGTTGTGAATAATTTTCAGTATTCACAATAAATTATACAATTCACAGATGAGATTTTTTTCAAAATCAGAAACACTAAACACAAAATCAGAAAACACCACCTCCACATGTAGGTAATGAGAAAAGCAAAGACTTTGTTGTCCACAAGGGGGCACCAGATTGACCCAAACTGAAAGTTCCTCAAAGGAGCTTTAAGATTAATCTGTACATCCTCCTGCAAGCTCTACTCCTCCCATGTTTGCTGTGAGGAGAGACGCACACATGCTTTACTGAAACACACACACGCAGAGATGTGCTTGCACCCCGTTTTTTAATTGTTTTAAATGCTGCATCATCAACAACAAATCTCCTTCACATGCACCTCACGTACTGTGAAAACTGATATGCAGGAGAAAAACACAAGGGGGTGGGGGGGCAAGCAGCTGTGTGCGGAGAGCAGGGTGTGTGTGCTTGTGTGTGTGTGTGTGTGTGTGTGTGTGGGTGTGTGTGTGTGTGTGGCCACATGAAAGTGGTCTTGTTTGTGAATGGGCTCTTAATAAGGTGAAGAGTGGAGTCTAATTAATATGTGGAAATTACCAGCAACCATTTGCAAATGGGGTCAAGCTATGAGTCTACCTGCAGTGCTGTGCTCCTCACATTATTGATACATGCAATTAATTGATCACAAAGCCTTTAGTTAATTAGATTATTGAACTCTCAGACAGCACTAGTTTTTATTGATAAGCCTAATGATAAAATGAATGGACTGGTATTTCCATTATGTTGCTTTGGTTGGTATTTTCTGCATCACTCCTCGTGCCCTATTTACATCAATAATCCGTGTTTGTGTCTGCAGATCTGGCAGTGTGGCGGCTCTTTGGAAATCGTAACATGTTCACATGTGGGCCATGTTTTCCGGAAAGCCACTCCGTACAGCTTCCCGGGAGGAACGGGCCAAGTCATCAACAAGAACAACAGGCGGCTGGCAGAAGTGTGGATGGACGATTTTAAAGAATTCTTCTACATCATATCACCAGGTACTTCTGTCTGACTTTCTTTGGGGGAGTCCCACATTTACATCTGTGAAAACAGGATGGGTTTATGCCTTCTTAAAGTATGATTATAAATATATACAATCCAGACAGCATCATTTACTCACCGTGGACCAAAGCAGACACGAATGACCCTAATTAGACCTTTTTCTGCTTCTTTGAGACTCACTATTATTATATTTAAAATAACTGCTGCTCCCTGTCAGCCTTTCATTATCAGACTCCATATTTACCCCTCGTCCCTGTCTGCACTGGAACTTCATTCTGCATTTGCCATCTTTAAAATCAGATTTATCATTTCCTGCTTCTGGACACATTTGTAGTTTTCCTTCAAAGTTGAGTCTTTTAAGAATGGCCTCCTCTCAGACAAAGCTCAAACACACACTTAGACAAACAAGAACAATAGGACTGTGCCAATTGAGAGATGAGAACCCCCCCATCTGTCGATTTAGTAATGTGATTACCCTTTAGCAGACAGCAGTGTCCCGGAAATCTCTGGTTAAGTGTTTTAGATGCCAGCCAACCTATAAGGGATCATCCATAATCTGCCCATCTCCCAGCACAAATTGTGACCTTCTCCTCGACTCAGACGAAGCAAGATTCTCCACGGGGCAGGTGTGCAGACAGAACCGGTGTAGTGATGGATGAAGCTCCCTGCGTATTGTGGCCCCCACAATGACTGTCTGTTCCTCCAGGACATTAGGGAGAATGATCTGGGCCACGCTGCTGCCAGACCTCACTTATTGGCACACAGGAGCACAGTATGCTGCTCAGCCTGAGTTTGGAAGGGGCTTCCAGTGATCCTATTAAAAGTGCATTTCCCTCCTCTGCACTGGTGATTTCAAGATCAAAGAGGCTATTCATCATCTTCAACATGTGATGCGTAGACCCTACGGAGAAAGAACGAGAGAGAAGGAGAGATTGAGAGGAAAAAGAGAGCCAGGGGAGCAGGAGCAGGCTTCTACTGATAGCTTTTATCTGCCGACTTGAAATTTCTTTTTCTTAGACGTGTGTGTGTAAGACTTTGTGGTGTGACAAAGGGTGCTCTTTGCAGTGTCTTTCTCCATTCTAATGGATTATTATATAATGGGGAAGGTGAAACATGCGAGCTGGTATTTTGGAAGTAGTATTCCATTTTCATTATTGCAGTCACGCTCTTTTATGATGAATTACCCCCCCTGGATCTTTAAACACGCAAGCTTTGAGTCTTCAAGAGGCACTCTGGGGAAAAGAAACATCTACATAGTGTGTTTGTTTGTGTCTGTACTTATTCAGTGTTACATCTTTGCTCAGTCTTTAGTTGCATTAAAGCTGATGCATCACACGGTTCAGATTTAATGAAAAATAACCCAAAGCATGGCACACAGGATTACATAACTGCTCCGTCTCTGATGGTGATGACCTGCTTCTAGCAGTCCACACATGTATAAATTAGATTTGCCTTAGTTTCCTCACATGCTCTCACTGCAGGAATAAGGTGGCTGCATAACTAAACAGAAATTTTGCAGTAATCACCCACATATAATCTGTTAGGGTTGTGTTTGGGTGTTTTTAAAAGGGTCCCTCTGGTGTTTAGTCTTGGTGGTGCAGAAACACATGTTTCATCTTCACAACACAAATTTAACTGCTCTGGCAAATATTATTGACTGAATATACAGAGTGTTTTTACTAACCCAGTGGGGCACTTTGTTTTGAGGCCAGCAATTTCACATAAATCTATCTACAGATACATCTCTAAGTCTCTTTGTTCTGCAAAGTAGCTGGCTGTATTTGGAGCAACTTTAACGTTATGAACATGAGATGACTTTAATAAGCCCAGGCTGAATATGCCTGTTTTAAAGTCCTTACTTTGTGCAGGTGTGTTAAGTCATCCAGAGCTGAAACTGCATTTTTTTCCACACACCTTAAAAATGTTTGAAATTCTAATGTTTGGGGACCAAGAGTGTAAGTGTCTATTGACTGTATATAATGACTGCTGACATGTCTCTGCCTCCTCTCACTGTACAAAAATGATGCTAAAATAACAGATGCTAACAGCCTGTGTGGTGTCCCTTTTACTCACCAGCTCACATGATTAACTCACCAGTAAAGTATATTCAGCACATTCCACAGGACACTTCCTGATGTCTCCTTAAAGCGGACACTTATTGTTATGAGAAATTCAGTGACTTTGATGTTGGTGGTTATTTTGTACTCTTTCACGGACGCTCCTCCTCTCTGGTGCATTTGTCAACAGAGCTGTCAATCACGGTGAAACACCCCTTTAAAGCACCAGATAATTACAGTTATTGAAAACTACAGAGAAATGAACACCCAGACGTCAGTCAGTGTGATAACAATTAACTTAAAGGGTCCTTGATTTTGAAAGTTTGACTTATAGTCTGTGTTAACACGCAGGAGGAGAGCTTTGTGACCTGTACTACACTCGAGATTTTTTGGCTTAACTTAAGTGGAGCTGTCATTTTTCTGTCTTTTCATGCAGCCTTTGCTCAATACTTTCTACAACTCATCACTCTATATGGCTGAATTCTTGTCTTTCCATCATGTCTGCAGGTGTGATGCGTGTGGACTATGGAGATGTTTCTTCCCGTCGAGCTCTACGTGAGGCCTTAAACTGCAAACCGTTTTCCTGGTATCTAGAGAACGTCTACCCAGACTCCCAGATCCCGAGGAGATACTTCTCACTTGGTGAGGTATGAGCTCCCTCGTATTCTGATCCCCTGTTGTGCTGCAGACGCACCGCCTCGCTCTGCATTCAGTCAGAGATGTCCTTGTAGCTTCTGGGTTTTGCTTTCAGAAACACAATATCGCTGTGAGACAAATCAAGATCTCTGGATGTTGGGCCGAGGGCTGAAAAAAGAAAACAGATAAAGACACAGCCGGAGCTGTTGGCACTGAATGTGTACGGTAAACAAACAAGTGGATGTTCATGCAGGCAGTATTGATCCCAGACACGTGTTTACACAGTTGGCTGTAAATACCAGGAAGGTGAGATAAGACTCATGTCTGTATTTTGCACCACCTTGTTTTGGGATGCACTCAGTGGGAAAAAAAAAGTTGTTTTAAAACAAAAATCGGACCGAATTTTTCTCAGGCAGGGTTTTAAAATGTTAACCATCCGTCTTTTTAATTTGAATCTGTGTTTCTGAGAACAGTCTGAGTTATTTAAGAAGTTTTATTGAGTGATGACTTTCATAGGCAGAGATGAAACATAGAGTGTGGCTCCTTCAGAAATCATACTGGGTAAGGATTGTGGGAACTAGGTTATAATTTGCAGCTTAGACATGAGAATTTCATCTTAATTAGATCTAAGATAATAGGAATCCCTTGTATGAATTGGTTCCCAGTCACATAGAAGTATTCATCTTTAAGTGACCTGACATTGCCTCTTGGTTCCTATGTTTGTGTGTGGACAGCAGCACGAGGCTCAGTCAGCGCTGACATGCACTGTGCTGTCTGCAGGATAGACGGGGCCATTTAAAAGTAATGTCAGTTTAAGAACTCATGCTGAAATGAGCTTGTAATCCTCCAACAGTCATACAGCTGAGGATGACAGGATTTTTGTCATCTGTGCTGCTCTGCTGTACTGCACTTCATGCTCTCCCTCTCTCAGTCTCTCTCTCCATCTTCTCCTGACTGACTATCATCCTCCATAACACACAGTCAGCCTTTCTTTAACAGCTGGAGCCATTAGGTTTTATATCACTTAATTATGAACGCTGTTCTGGTCCTGCATGATAGGCATAATAATGTTGCTATGGCAACATTTAAAGCCAGCTCAGCTTTAGCTCTATGGATGTATGAGTTCATTAGAAAGCTGAGTTGACGGTAAAGTCAAGAGAAGCTGTGAAAGCAGAGGCTGTATAGTCCCATCAGTTGTCCATTTCAGCTTAAGAAGGGAGGATAATTGGTGGAGTTTGGATTTTACAAAGTTTATGAATCAAACTTTCTTTGACTTTTAGGCACTACCCTACAATTCATTTGTCATATATTTTTATATTTTGCTTAAGCATTTTCTAAAACTCAGGAGTTAAAAGAGGTTATATGACAAAAAAATGATATAAAATATTAAAAAGCCAGAATTTGCAAATGTTTGGCCCTTTTCTTTGTTGAATAACTGACATTTATTCATTTCATAGTAAAATATTTGTTTCTTGATTAAAATTCATTTGATCTGCTTGTTATAGCAGCTTCAATGAACATGGCCTTCCTTTTTTGAAATGTAGTCACAGCTGTCTCAGTGACAGAGATTACGGAGCATAAGTCATACAGGTATGACATGTTTTTCAGTGACTTTTTCCTGCTTTAAAAAAGTTGACCATTCCTTTTCTGTTGATTAAATGAATAAGTAATTAAAACATGTGATTGTAATGGGACTCTGGGATACTGAAACTGAATCATTAGCAGCATTAAAAAAGAGTAGGACTGACCAGGGCAGGAAAACACAACAGATACACTGTTAGTGAGAAGTATTGAGCGCAGACCCTAGCTACCTTTAGAAAGCCTCAGGGATAAAACATTTGTTTGGATACAGTCTAGAGTTGGGCTTCATAAAAATATCAATATGGTAAAGTATTGCAATATTTCTTTATCTCACAGTGGTGTATCGACTTTCCCGCTCTCCACAGCAATAGATACAAAAGATTAAAAACAGCGTTTACTTCCCCTAAAACTCCTGAAATAACCTCTGGACCTGTAGAAGTTGCTGTTCAGCCCACAGACGGGCACCTTGAGCCCCAACAGTGTCAGTATTGATGGTGGAGTATCACAGAGGGTAAGGTAGAGAGAGCTAGTGCAGCTAATAGTAACAAACAGGTGAACCAACATTTCCACACAAACGAGCAAGAAGGAGCAACATTAGTTTTGTATCCAGCTGATCTCTGTGAGTCTTCTCTCTGTCTAACCTGCTGTTCTCATACAGCAATGACACAGACGCACTGTTCAAATTCACAAAACCAATATCAATACCAAGGTTTTATTTGACGTCTCATAAATATAGTTTATGTGGTAGACTGATAAACAGCAAAGGAGAGACAGGGACGTCATCTGATCTCTATATTTTACATTGTTCCTGTTCTGTGGACTGTCTTGAGGCTCCAAACCCCTGCACAGTGACTGACATGCAGCATCTCAAACACAGTAACATGAGGAGGAGAAAATATGAAAATATCAATACAGTCTGGGGTTTGTGCTGATATAGACACCAGTACACACTTATGAATGAAATAAAGAGAGATAGATGAGATGAGATGAGATTGTCTGTCCACTGTTTTCCTGAAAATCTCCCCATTATGTCTCTTGTTACTGTTGACAGCATTTCAAATATTAAGAAAGATTTAAATCTTTGGTGCTCAGGACTTGGTCCTGGTGATAAAACAGATAGTGATATAATTTATTATTTGATTTTATGACAATGTCAGGCTGAAATAAACTAGAGTGGAGTTTTTTTGGACAGTTTCAACTTGACAGGCTGTATGTTTACATTTTCATCAAGTCATGTACAGTATTGTGAAGTATTGTGACGCTTGTGTTGTGATTTGTATGATATCCTGAGGTCCTTTCACACATCCAGCCTGAGTCTGGAGTAGTAGGCATACATTATTTGGATCATCCTGAAGCAAATAACAGAAATATTATCACACTTTGTGAGCTTTTTTTGCTTGTTTGAGTGAAGTAGACTGGATTTTAAATATCTGATAATAGTTTAAAAACTAAGTGGTTCAGATGTAAGATTAGCACATCAAGAGGCACAAATCAACTCCTGACTTTTGATGAATTCAGTGATTTCTGAATCTTTTGATGTGATTTTATCCTGCAGATCAGAAATGTGGAGACCAACCAGTGTGTGGATAACATGGGAAGAAAAGAGAACGAAAAAGTGGGCTTCTTCAACTGTCACGGCATGGGCGGAAACCAGGTGACACCTGAATATTATTTTGACTGCTATTAATCATGACACTGATGTCAAAATCCTGAGCAGGACTGTCCTTTTAGAAAGACCACTCTACAGTAGGTACAGCAAATCTCTTTTAAATTAACACTGAGCCCACCAAGCCTCTAATATGTCTTTATCTCCAATACATGTGCTCTGGGATTTGGTCTTTATCGGAAAACTTGAGCTCAATCAGGTTAGACGTGAAGTGTGTGTAAATGCCAAGTCAATCCAGAGGTTTTCAATAGGAGTCAAGTCTGTTTTTTTGTCATCTCTTAAGTCCATTGTTGATTTGGCACGATGCGGGGGTTCACTGATAAGTCTTTGGCTTTTTTAAGATGATTCATGCCAAGAATTTGATTGTGTTTTGGTCCAATCTCTGTCTTTAGCCGCACCATACGAGACAGAATCCCCTTGTAATCCGTCTGACAACACAAAAGAGGAGGAAATAAAGCGTTGTACATGTAGACAACATGAAAAATATCTTTTACAATATGTGATAGAAAAAGATTCACTGACCTCTGTTAAGGATTGAACATGATTCAGGGTGAGAGGAGGAACGAAATACAGACTTCGAATGATCATAAATCGTATTTTATGTGTCTTTGCTGTAAAAGGATGAACGATGTTGCACAGCCTGATATTTTCATGGCTTGACCTCCACATTTTTTCATTCCCAGGTGTTTTCATACACAGCCGATAAAGAAATCAGGACAGATGACCTCTGCCTGGACGTCTCCCGCCTCAACGGACCCGTGGTGATGCTCAAGTGTCACCACATGAAGGGCAATCAGATGTTCGAGTACGATGCAGAGGTAGGATCCACATCCCAAAAGGCATCCAAACTTTCCGCTGATAATCTAGGCTGCCATACTTTCCTCCTGATGGCAGATGTTTTAGAAAATGACTTTGACAAAATGCTGATTGATTGTGTTTGTTCATGTCATGAGGAGATTGCAGTGGTAAAGGATTTGGGTAATAGTGGTTTGTCTCCACCAGATGGCGCTGTGTGTCAGTTTTTTAGCAGCGAGGAAATTCTGTTGTTTTCTCCACCCAGCAGCTGTCTCTCCTCTCTTGTTTTTCTTATTTCATGTAGTATGTTGGCAAGTGGGAATATGATTTTGAGGTAAGCTTCTCAAGTCATCGCTCCATAGAAATATCCCCTCATAGTTTGATTCACACGTAGTGATTTCCTATAGCGCTGTGTGGACTGTCGTGTGTCTGTGATAATGTGAATAGATCTTTTGAATCCCGCTGTATCCCACAGACTGGTTTGCTGATATTAAATCTCAAATCTTGGCTGTTTTTCTTGTACCAGATTAAAACGCATTCATTTTTTATTTTCTCACAGACTCAGCTACAAGTTTAATGATTATGCTTATGTAAAATAAATGCCTCTTACAGAAGTTAGTTTCTTTTCAAACAGACTAAGAATGATTTTTATTCTGTTTGATTGCTTTGGAGGCTGTACTTTTTATTATTTAAATCTATAACGTCCTTATCTACAGTATCAGCCATTAACAAATCATATACGCAAATAATAAGACAGACATTCAGCTACACAGCCACAGTCTATAAACCAAATGTCAGAGCTAAAAATAACACCCACCTAATCTGTAATAAATCAAAACAGCACAACAAAGATTGATGAGCATGGAAAACAAATAATCTCCATGCATTTTCTCACCTTGCCGTGCATTACAGCCTGTTAGACGCACTCAGATCGAGCAATATTGAATTTACCCACCGCACAAATATGGCAGTGAGTTTTTGCGTATTAATTTAAAGTAGCACTAAAATAAGAAAGGAAGGTGAGATAAATGACAAAGCCGGAAAAAACAGCAGAGCGATGTATGATTAAATTTCCCTGGTTACACGAGCTGTAATCATCTGACATTTTTAATATTCAATCAGATGCAGAAACAGATGTCGCAGGCTCTTCAATTGAAAGTAAAGAGACATATTCTCATCAAGCTGTGTCATCAGGACTCCGATTACATTATCGATTATATAATTCAAAAAGCATCCTCTCTGTTAACTATTTATGCTCCTTTATTTTTCTCCTTTCTTCAAACCAGCGCTGAGAGGCTAAGAAAAGACCGGTCTGAATCTAGTGTTACCTGTCAGTGATTGAGATGTCCGATCACTGACATGGAGAGGTTAGGGAGCCTGGAGGCTTTCTATCAAGCGCTGAACAAACCCGAAGATAAATCCTTTCATTACACTTTGTTCTGCTGGTGCATTCTTAATATGGAAAAAAGACTGAATTATTCATAAACGAAGAGGACCGGTCTCTGTTGTACACAGCGTTGGGGTTTCACCGCTGTCGGTGGCCGGGGTTATTTTTAGCCCAAGTGTGACAGACAGGGACCGAATCCTGGGCAACTACAGTACCATTAACATTTCATCTGGTCATCAGTTTCACTGTCACAGGAGGAGCTGACTTTCTCATCTTTCTGCTGAATTCACTCACAGCCATGATGGACGGTAGACCTTCTTTTCACCTGCTCTTTCTGATGGTTCAGAAATTAGCAGTTTGTTTGGCTCCTGCTGACAGTCACTCATGAATAGATAAGAGATGTAGTGTATGTAACAACAATATGAAATACCTCTGCTGTCCTGCAGTTGTCAGATGGTCTCGTTACATAAAGTCCAGTAGCAATTAGGATATAACTATTTGCTGTGGATGTTTTATTCAAAGTATTGAAATAGTATTTTCATGCCATTTAGGATGATTGGTAAATACTGGAAATGCTCCTTTATTGGCAACTTGTAAATTCAGGGGGTAATCAGGGGGTTGAAATACTGTGCAATGTATACAGTGTATTAATGATGGTTTTAGATACTTCAAACATGGTCCTTGGGGACGTAATGAGGCCTTAACATTATTCAACCCTGAGCTTGGTGAATTAAAACTTAAAGAAAAATCAGATATAAATACAGTTTGATATATTAAACTGACTGAAGTATAAAATGAATTGAAGGGTATTTTGAAAGGATAAGGCCTTTTTTGTTGAACAGAATAACAACTCTCCTCACCTGTAACACAGGCTGTTTTAGAAACAGACAGACTAATGTGAATATGGTTAGTTAGGAGCTTCTCCACTGAAGATGAAGCTTTGTAGTTCAGGTTAGGCAACATCTGAGGAGTAGCAGCACAGTGAGGCTCTGACTACATTGTTAGTCGGCTGAGTCTTCCACCACGCTGAACGTCTGGTTATTCAGAATAATGAATTCAGTGATTACTTTAAGCTTCTTTACCTTTAGAGGATTGCTGTTGTGTCTCTTATCTTTGTGAAAGTAGAGGCTGCTGATAGGTTTTCACTGGCGCTGGAGCTTTTTTTTTTCTTCTTACTCTTCACCCCAAACTCAGGGTGACAGTTGTTGGGACGCACAATTAAATTGGTCATGTTGAAGGTGTGGTGTCTGCTCCTCCTCCTCAGATCAACTGTGCTTCATTCAGAGTAGCTGTTTTGTCGTTTGTTTCCAACACAAATAATTCTTCCAGGCAGTCAACACGTTGAAGCTCAGTGGTAGTGCACAAAGCGCCAACTCATTGATCATTCCTATCAGCAGGAATTTTCATATTTGCCAGCATTAATCTTCAATTCATTACACTTTTATCTGCCAAAGCCAGTGTCACGCCAATAAAAACCTGCATTCCTAGTGTAAACAGAAATCTCAGTAAGCATGGGCAAAGACATAAAAGGCCAATACTCCTGGGAGGAGTTTTTGATGGTTATAAAACAGACTTTCAGTGACACAGACGGTGATGTAGATGGATAATGAACTAATTTTTATCATTACAAATGGATAAAAACATGAGTTATTTTTGTTAATTAGTCAAATATTTGGTCTTATAATATTTATGCACATAGAAATTATGTTGCTCCAACCTAGTCCTGTGTCACCGGAAGGAAAAGGACCAAAAATGCAGACTTAACTTTAAAAAAATTTAGTAAACAAAAAGGCACAAACTTAAACCAAAAGTCCAAATCTACAAAATAAAAAAAAAAAAGTGCAAAAACACCAGAAGCAGGACAAACACTGGAGCACAGGGAATAGACAAGATGTCAACAAGCAAGGACAGCATGGACACATAGACAGGCTTGCACAACATACCAACAAAGAAAGAGAGGAGGACAGGAACTATACACACACACAGCAGGGAATTGAGGAACAGGTAAGGCAGACAAAACACATGTGAGTGTGTGACACAGTGATTAACAGAGGAGAGAAAACTGCAGAAGTAAAACGAGACGTGACACACATGGACTGACTACTACAAAATACAACAGGAAACAGCTGCACTCGGAAAGTGCAGCTGAACTGAAAACTGAACTGAGCGACTAAAGAGTGAAAAACAAGAACAACAGAAACATAGAAATAACAAACACAGGGAAACAAGAACGACAGAGAACAGAAACAGAATGAAAATACACCGACAATAATTCTAAACAACAAAACCAGGAACAAACTAAATCAACAAGAACCTATTGTGACATCCTGCCTTATAACAATAATACTGTTACTCTATTCAACAATCAACAATTTCCATGGAGATAATTCAAAGTGACAAAAATCAGTCATCGTCACAGTGTTTGCCCATTTTAAGGGTTTTGAGATCCATGAATCTTAATGCTGTTTCGATCGTTTTTAATAAATCGTGTCAGGTTAAATTCAGCTCAGATGTTTTGACATTTGCTTCTGCTTTCTGAATAGTTATCTCATCCTCAGGCTTTAGTTTGAATATGTATTTGTTCAGATTGTGACTTTGATTCCCATTGAATGTCCGTGTGATCTGAAATTTTGTCCTTTAAAAACTCTGCAGACAAATTAGCAGGAATTCAACCTTTTTTCACCTCCTCACTGTTCATGTCTCTGCTGAATATCCATCATGAATACCTCAAACAGAAAAAAACACAGCAGCATTATTAAATTTTATCTAAAGGTCAGCTGCTGTTGAGTCTTGGTTAAAAATAAACAAAACAAAGCCATTCCTTTTGAGTTGACTGTCACTGAAAAATCACCTTCTTTATTGACCTGGAGAAGTTTGGCTGTAGAGATTAGACAGCAGCTGAAGCCTCAGTCTTACCTTCACTACCATCTGTCCTTCTCAATCCCGGCTCACCTGCTGCAGAAGCACACTTTCCTCCACATCATCACCCAATCATGTCTGACCATCAGCCGCCTGGAAGACGGCTCCTATGGGCCCACAGTGGAGTATTGTGACAACAGCCCCATGCAGAACTGGATCCTCCACAACTACACCCATCTGGAGGTCGCTAGACACCTCTACTACAGCCCCACTGATTATTTTCTCTGAGCTCTGGGTGCTGGGCTGGGCTGAGGTGAGCTCCTGAGTAGAGATAAGCGTAGAAGTGGGTGATCATTTTAGCTGTAGCATAGTTATGTTTTAGTTTTAGCATATTTGAAGTAGACTAGTTGAATCTATTTTTGTCTCTGTTTTAAAGGGATTTTTTTCTTTGTCAGTTATGATGATGTTGATCTTTCAGATATGAGTCCAAATGTGCAGGGAAACCGTGTAAGGAGGCATTAAGTAGCTCACTGCTGTGACCTTTCATGAGGAAACACATGAAGAGTAGGGCAGAGCCACATCAAGCATCGACTGATGCCCCATCAAGACTGCTCTGTGTATAAGATGCTATCTCAAAGACCTTTAGCTGGTCTTCACACCACATTAGATCTCATCTGACATTTGTTTTCCTACATCAATATTTTATTTTGATGGGAAAATTCACCACACTGCCAGCGTACGGTGAGTGATGCCTGCGATGGAGGACGTGTTTATTTTGGGTTGATTATCTCCCTGCAGGTCTGATTAAAATGGGCTCCCTATTGTGTACAAGTTCTTTTGAAGTGATCCTTCATTGTGAGTCTAGCTTTCATGGCCCTGGCCTCTCAGGCCACTCTGCTATTGGCCTAAAGCAGCTGTGTACACTCTGTGCCATGTACATATTGTAGCAGCAATGCATCCCAATTATCCGAGCTTTTCACTATTCAGCGCGCTGATTTACATACTTTTTGTCAGGAATGTTTTTTGGGCTCAGCGTTTCCGGCGGTTTCAGGTTAGTTATTTTCCTGCTCCATCCTCTGTGTCTGTCTGTCATTTTCTCTGTTGCCAACTTATTCTGCTGAGTTAAACCAACTTTGCACCTTAGAGTCCTTCACTGTTGTGTCTTTCAAAAAGCTTAAGAGAAATTTCACGGCAGCATGCCTCAGATTTTGCAACCAAGCAGGGTAAATTGGGTAAGAAGCTCCCAAGGCTGCTGGTGTGTGTCAGAGCAGTGACAGTGAAGTGACCTGCTGTTAGATGGCCTGATTTGTTGTTCCCTCTCCGAAGTCCTCGCTACATAGCCAGCGCAAGAGGAGAGCACGCACACAAGAACAAGGAACCAGTCGAGAAAATGAGACTGTTGCCTCGCTCTGCCTCAAGACAAAAGGAATTTGCTGTTTTTGTATTTCCCACAAAAGACATCCTGGTCCTCTAGATCTTTCTCCAGAGTCAGCACAAGATCACATCAAACAGGAACTCCTTTGCCTTTCAGCAAGTCCAGTGCGCTGCTTGGTGACAAAGAGGATAATGCTTCTCAGCCCGGCCTCATGGTTAGAAACCGTCCTCATTTAATTAGGCGGTCTCAGCTGTGCACACACTCAGCAACTCGCTCCGGAGACGGCGGTCGGTTTGCTGGGAGGCTGAGATAGGAGATTTCTCTGCCCAAGAGGAGCCATGAAATAATTATGAGCAAAGGACAGGACCTCCACATTTCTAGTATTTTCATTAAATGCGGAGCGTTTTCTTTTTTTTTTTTTTCCCTGTGCTTTTATACTTTTCTTCTGTCAACTCTGCCTCTAGAGTGGGTTTGGATCTTTGAATGAAAGAATAAAATACAGCCCTCATCACTGCCTCTCTCTACCAGGTTGTTATGATTTATAGATTAGCTCAACCTCCAGATGGGAGAAGCTTCATGCAGGAGTTGGTGTCGAAGAAAGTATTTATTGATTATTCTGCTTGTTTTCTCAGCAGAAATCAAGCAATAATTTCTGATTATCTCCTCTTATCCTTGAGACCAAACTAAGAAGCACCTGTCTTTATCCGCCTGAGTGGAGAATAATTTTTTTAATAACAGAGAAAGGTAAAAAGTCTCCAGTGTAGAGCTACTTTATTGCTCTGTCTTGTTTTTTAGCAGGTGTGGAAGGTCGAGCGCCACCTGCTCTCTTTGTTCTTGTTCTGTTTGAACAAATGCGCCTGTAGGGCCGTCTGCAATGTGTACTTCAGAAAAGGTGTGTGTGTAGGTGTGTGCGTATGTGTGCACCTCTTTGTATCCAGGCAGGGGATGTCAGACCCTTGTGTTTTATAGCTTAAGATCAAACATGGCCTGTGCGTCTGTGTGTGCTCATTAGTCTGAATATCCTCTGTCAACAGTCAAAGCAAAGTCTTGTTTTAATGAAGAATTGCACCACAACCCCAAGAGAAATCATTGCAAAGCTCATGTAACATGGCCTCTATGACCTGTGATGTATATTTATTTACATGTTATTTTTTGTCTTTGCACGTGTCTTATTTAGACAAAATAACAATCCCTCTGTTTACACTGCTGTTATGTTAAGTAATGCTTCCAGTTTTCTTTGAAAGCTCTTGAATTAACCATCACTTAAAAGATTTACTGTCGTAGCAGCAACTGACAAAAACACACTTTTATTTTGAATACATAATATCCCCATTTCCTCCTGACATTGTTTTTCGTAGCAGACTCTTCCTTTCCTTATGCAGCGACTTCAGCTCCTCTCGCTCTCTGCATGTGATCATTAGGACCAGAAAGGCAACTCAAGTGAGGGACCAAATTGCGGAAGCGTGTTTCTTCTGAGGGAATGAGCATAAATGGTTAATCAAGGCCATTGAGAGCTCTTTTCCAGCTCTTATTGTGCGTGTGCGTGCGTGTGTGTGTGTGTGTGTGTGTGTGTGTGTGTGTTAGGGTGATGTTATCTCTGGGTCCTCTGAAGCAGATAGCCACAGACTTTTTTGGTGCATGCTCGTGTGGACTCTGAATTCAGCTCATCACAACAGGTGTCTCTTTTTAAAAGCCTGTGTGCTGACTTCTTACTTCCATGTTTTTATGGGATTGAGTAGACAAAATACAAAATTGATGGCGACGAGGGAAAACTATATGGAGAGAGTCGATTTAACATGGGTGGTGGATGTACATCTAAATGGATCTTTAAACGAAAAATCCTTCCATGGTTTGCATTTATTTATTAACTACAGTAATGTTGTCCTTATATCCTTAGTGACTGTATCCACTGTAACACAAGAACAGGACCATCTTTGATGCTGTTTAGCTCATATTTATGACTAACAACATGTTAATCAGGCATCATCTTTAATTATGAAGTCTTAAAGGGATATTCCTGCATAAATTTAAGTTATGGTCAAACACACCGTAACATCGAGTTACAGTGTGGGGGAGCTCTGACAAGTTGATCACTGAGTGCATCTGAAAATTTAGGATTATTACTTCACTGAAATGCAGTCAGACTAAGACACTAAGGCAGAAGAACTACCGTGTCTACAGAGCACATACAAGATACACAAGAACTCTGATTGCATTTTCATAAAGTAATAATCATAATGTTCTTCCTTGAGCTGTGAAACTCCACTGCACTCTGTGATCGACTTGTTAGGGCTCTCCCACAAACAAGCAACTGCTGGAGGCGAGTGGGTGAGCTGTGTTTAGTCTCTTTGCTAAAGAAATCAGGCAAAGCTAAAAAGATGTTTGGAGGTTAGTGCTATGGCTGGGACACTGTATGTACTGTTGATGAAGTTAGGTACTGTTCTGAGCATTATTCGTGACTATAGAGTGACGTTTTGGTTGAGGGTTGAGCGTGGAGACGTAGACCATTGTGTATTGCTATCGTGTGGTCGTTGCTGAAGTTGGTATAACTAGAGAAGCAAGCAGTTGGCAGCATTCATCTCTCAACAGGGTGTCTAACTCGGTGTTAATGTGTATTTGACCATGACTTAGACTTATGCTGGATTATCCCTTTAAGATAGAATGAAATGATAAAATGATTAGAGGAGCACTAATAATGATGGAGCAGATCATAGGAAACGACACATTATCATGCATGCTAAACATGCTGATTACAAAAGTCATGAGGTTATTTTAAGAAACTAGTGTTTATGTTACCCTGCAAAGGTGATCCCGTTTAGAGCAGTTGAAGTGTGTCCTTTGTGTTGCTGAACACTATGAGGTTGTACTGCAGAGTCAGGAATGGTTACATCATCTAGAACAGTAGATAGGTAGGACACTGAGCTCACTGTGAGTCTTATGTTTGACAGTTAAAGCTCCTCTGAGGAACTTTGGTCCTGTGTTGACTTTGGTGCCCCCTGTACATATAGTTATAACTCTTATCTGTTGGTGATTTGGTTTTGCTTTAGTAAAAGTGATGTTAATTGACAAAATAAATGCTGAGAGAAAAATAATGAAGGCTGTTTCTTCAGTGTACCTGTCCTTTCACAGAACTCACAGGCAGGAACAATTATCACACAGGAACTGTCGCTGCTTGTATTCATCTTAAAAATATATCACTGTTTGTCATCATAACCAACCAAAAAGATTTCTCAAGGCCTTTTAAAAAGCTGGATGTATTTTTTTTTTATTTAAAAGAAATACAAAAGAAAAGTAGGGATACAAGACGAGATTGTCAGAAGGATGTGCTACTTCATCCAAAGAGACGCCGCAGTTAAAACAAACCAAGAGATCCTCACCAGAGCTTCAAGTTTCAATGGTTAACAGACCAAGAATAAACTCAACTCTTCACGCTACGTGTGCTAACAGATGAAATATATTGTCACTCTGGCATCCCACAGCTGTGGATGGCTAGTCATCAAGTATAACCCAAAATAAAGCTGTTTGAAGCAGGTTTCAGTAACAAGAAGTCTCCTGACCTTCATTTAAAGGTAAAAGCACAAGTTTACAGACTCACTATGTTCCTGCAGATTCATAGACAAAGTTGTCTTAAACCAGCCCAGCTAGCTGATGAATAAGTATAAGTATTGGTTTGTAAAGCTAAACTGCTCTGAGCATGGTGGTACTTGCACACATAGAAACCCATTCAATACTATCAGCCTTTATTCGTCTGTATAAGGAGTATCACTGTACAAAGCTGTTAATGAAAACATTAAAACATTATCTCTGGCATTGAGAAATGTATTCCATAATGTTTTTATTCTCCTATAAGATGATGGCAATGACAGCAGTCTCAGTACAAAAGGGCTTGGATTCCTCCTGCAGCCTCAGAGCATGACTCTCACTGTTCCTCCACAAGAAAATCCTGCTCTCTTGATGTTGCTGTTGTTTTTTTTTCCTGCTCCAGCTACTGTTACCGACTGCAACAAGCTGGGGCCATTTACCGGGTTGAGAGGTATTTTTGTGAAATGTGGGAAATCAATAGTTGAAGTGTGTCTGTGAAGGTTTGTCTTAGTCATCCAGGTACAGAAGAAGAGCTGAAGCACAGGTGGATGGAAAGTTTAACATCGCATAACTCTGGAAAAAGTTGATAAAAAGTGCAGATTTAATTGCAAAACTAAATAAATTTCCTGAAGTGTTTGCATCTTTCTAATGCCCTTTACTGCTTTGTCTCTCTCTCCCTCTCTCTTTTTTTCTCTCTCTCTACAGCGACTCACTCTGCTGCACGTGAACAGCAATCAGTGTTTGGACATGCCGTCCGAGGAGGACAAAATGGTCCCCACCCTGAGAGACTGCAACAACAGCCGCTCTCAGCAGTGGCTGCTCCGTAACATGACTCTGAGCGTCTGATCTCCCACCTCTCTGCTCCCCCCTCCGCTCTGTCCTTATCCTAACCAGTCCTGGCTCTCCAAACCCTGCACTTGTGGCTCTCAACCACGCACATCATCCGCCTCTTCCTGTAACAGCGAAACAGAGACCCAGACAACAGAGGCTTAACTTCCATTATGGAGGCGTCTCCTTTTACAGGTTTGCCAGAGGCTGCACCTGCCTGTACAGCTACATGACAAGCTGTAGCTATGGCTGATCTCGTCACATCCGAGCAGGGATGAAGATGTTAGAGGTCTGTGCATGGAGAATTAAGAAATTAAAGAACTCGTGCTGTGTCACCCAGCTGCTAGCTGCGCATCCACCGTGCTGCTCAGACTGCCGCTTAACTGCTGGACAATTAAACCATGGAGCATCGCTTTAAAGGCGCGTCTCTGAGACGGTCTGCACTGACAGTGACCTCCTTGTGCTGTGTACATGCAGTGCAGTACTTCCTACTGTAGTCACCATCCTAAAGCAGGAGTGTTGTCACGATGACTGCTGTTCATCCTCTTTCCACATCAGTGTTTGAGTTATATTCAAAGTAACAGGAGAGGGATTTTATAGCCCAATCTGCTCTGAATTATGAAGCAGGTACCACTATTCAACAAGAGAACTTAAAGTATCTGATAACCATACTGCATGTACGCTAAAAAATTTGGTAATCCAGTCAAATTCAAATTTAACTCTCATCTCTTTGCACAGGCGACTCTCAACTATAAGCTGTAATGCTACTTTATACTCACAGTATGATATTTAGTGTCATTTCTCTGGCTAAAACACTCCGATTTTTTTTTCTTTTCACATTATTCAGGATACTTCTGGCCAGCATCAGCTCTTTCTTTCGCATGGGTCTGGTTTTGGTGGTAGAAAAATGCGAAACTGTTGAAACTCAGTTCATTGAATATAGTCCTGCACCCTCCTCCCTGAGATTAAACATTGATTTACATACAGAGATGTGTATAGTAAGAGGACATGACCTCTTTGTGTCAAGAGTGAATCCAATGTTGAAGTGCCTTAAACCTGCATCCTTTGTAGTGGCCAGCAGGGGGCAATCACTTTGTAAATCAAGGTCCGATTTAAACTGAAATTAACAATGAAGTAAAGCATGCTCAGGGGGCCACTTGTGTTTGACAAGTTGCTGCCATGGTGACACGTCAACCCAGACAAAGAAGTCGCAAACCAAATAATCAAGATGCTGTCGGCCAAAATGCAGCACCAAAAAAGATCTGTCACAAACAAGTAATGTCAGATTGGTACCGTTCTCTTCGTATTTACAGCCCGAAGGATAAACCAACTAATAAATAATGTAATAATAATAACAAAGGGTTCTTAAACTGGTACAAGAAATTAACCAACAAGTAGATCACTTTCTTAGCTGTATCATAGTCGCATGTGGAACTGCCCCTCAAACCCAGGACAGCCTCTCTCCACATGTATCCCTACATGTGCTGTGGTTGATGGTATACCCCCGGGGGGACTATGGCATTGCTAGACTGGAGTGTTAACACCCTAAGTCTCAGTAATGGCATGAGCTGGGTTAAGGTTAAAGTCCAGTACCCCATTGCTAGACCACTACTGTCACCTCCCCACCCCTCAGCATATGCTGGTAAAAGGAAAAACAGCTGATGCCTCAAGCAGCAAGTTGGTAAGTGTTTCCTCCAGGTGGAGGTTTCTATGATCATGTTCTTTCTGTTATTGATGACTCTGACAAGCTATGAAAGCCAAGCTAATGGTAATATCGTTAGCATTAGCGTTATCGTTAGCATTAGCTCTACTGGTTACATCAGCAAGGATTGCTTTTTCATTAAAAGGTATTAAATGATCCATGAAAGACACGCAAGAGAAATGTAAACACATAGTTACTTAACATCACTTTGCTGCACTTTCATTGTCACAAAAGACAAAGAACTGTTCGGATCTACAGCAGTGGCTCAACGAGATTCATAATTTCTACATGTATCATAGCAGGGGTGGCAGCCTGAAAGGTTCATGCAATGGCATACCAGTGAGGGGATCAACACACTGGTCTAGATCCATACTGCTGGTGAAACATGCTGCTGAACTACCGGCACATGACACAGCATAGTGGATGATACCAAGACTGAGAAACTGAAACTGAAAAAAGAAATGTTTAATCTTCTTGTAATTAGAAATTGATCCTGGGTAACATTTAAAAAAATCACATTAACATAGATTAAAATAACAGAAATTATCTTAATGAATATTGTTTATGTTTAGTGTATTTTCAAAATTGTGATCAAATGGATTATAAGGCTGACCAATGCTTACATATGGAGGTTTCTTTTGAGAGACTTTTTGATAAGATAAAAGATATATAAAAGAGTTCTATATCAAAATGTTGCGTCCATAAGACAGATGATTGAATATTTGTAATAAGCAAACATCAGAGAAAACCGGTTGGGCTCTAGCCTTTGTAAGTATTTGATGTTTGGAAAGGGATGAGCTGAAAACTTCAAACCGTTAGGCAAGAGTGCAGCTATGATATCCTCCTTTTTTCTGCTGTTTTTTGTTGTTTTTCTGATTCTTTAAATCATGTTTAAGACAAAGGAATCACAGAATGTAGAGTAGGGATGAAAACACGAGGCAGCTCTGTGGATTTACTGTATTTATAACTAATTAATGGGAGGTACGTTAGATTATGACTGAATGTAAAAGATGAAGACTATAATCTGTTTCATCTGTAAGAGTTACAATGGCCATCTGTGAGCATCATTGCTAAAAACACATGACCTTAATCAGTTATATAGAAGCATTCCTGCTTAATCTTTCTTTAATCCTGAGAAATCAAACAATTGGAGCACATAGTTACTTGTGCCTTTAGAAAGTTGTTTTATAACTTCTTTAATGGCTCTTAGGGGATTGGATTAGTTAGTGTTGGAAAAGGGAGATTGCATGGTCTTTTGATTTCAATACTTTAGTGATTAATGCATATTTGTTTGAATCACTGTCATATCTGATGAATATATACAGCATATTACCATAATTTTAATGCTTGATAAAACTTTTGGTTACCATATCAGCACAGCTCTACCCAACTATCATCCATGCAGATGTTACGGGTTTCACAACATTGCAGATCAGACAACAATGTGTTGTTGTATATAAAGCTGTTCTCATGTTTCTATCACCACTGTTGTTGTTCTCGTTGTTGTTTTTGATGTCGTTGTTGATGTTGTTATTGTAGATACAGAACTGATTATTTTTCTAAGATGCTGTAAAACTTGAACACTCTTTGGAGAAAAAGAAATTGAATGATGAAACAGAAACACAAGATATTGCAGTGGTTTATTTTGAATCATGGTAATAAAAACCAGTGCTTACCTTGGGTTTTGAAATTGCAGTGTGTTTCGGAAATCAACATCGGCCCCATGAAACCAATTCTCAAACTACCTAAAGGACCTTAGGCGTGCATACATGAGGGAGCAACTAATGGTGAAATAGTATCAATGCTGCTTGAATCCTGAATCCCTGCCAAGGGCCTGCTTGGCTTTCAGACCCAAATTCAATCACCTCTTTCATATTATGCACACACACATTTATTGTTTTTCATTATCTTAAAGTGCATGGTGTTGAAATAGGAATGTAATGTTTCAATGTACTGTTTGCAAAGTGATGTTTCCTGTTTGTACATTTTTGCCTTCTTTTGTAGAGAAGCTGAACTTCAATTTGGCATCAATTTACCATGTAAAGCAACTGGTGTAAATGTGAACCCTAGCACATCACACCAATGCATCAGTTGTTTAATAAAACTTGTCCGCTGAGCTTTTAAGACCCCCTGTATATCTCATTACCAGGTGTCATGTGTGGGCTTTAAAAGGTGGTAAATTACAGCCTTTCGTCCACGGCGACCATTAGAGGAAAACACATTTAACGTGGCGGCATCAGAAAAAGACTGCATTGATACTTTCTTTCTTCCTTTTCTCCTGAGTCTGAAAAGACAGCTATACATCTGAAACTGTTTATTATTGTTTTTTGCAGAGATAAAGAAGGTTGATTTTTCAGATGGTCCTGGCTTTTTTAAATGAAGTTTTAACATTGTATACTTAAATGTAAGTAATGCTGCAAGCTGCATTTGGTTTGCCTATATGAAAATCAGCACAGAGCCACTTGCTCCATAAAATGTGTTTAAAGACCCACTCCGATGAAAATCATGTTTTTCTTGTTGTCTGCATGTTCATATGGCATTTTTTCTGATGCTACAGGACATATCATGAGAAAAATAAGTGCCAAATTGCATTTCTGAGTATTTCTGCATTCAAATCGCTGTGAATCTCTGTCAGACCCAAATGGCAGGCTCAAGCAGAGTGAGATTTCCAAGGTAGCAAGTCCAAGCTCCACCCCCAGAGCCCCACTTTTTAGGCCATACTCTGAGAGGTATAATAGAAGAATAATTGTGTGCATTCGTGGATTGCAATGCTTGTAAGAAAGCTAATTATGATATTAACTTTCATCATGTCCTCTAAATAAATTAGTGTCTCAGAGCTGAATAGCTCAAATGTTACCTGCTACTTCTCCTGCACAAGCAATGTTACTGCAAGCTAGCGTTAAGAGGAGTGTGCGGAGCAGCACTGTCTCCACCCACGACTCAGAGATGAATTGTTAAAGAGCTACTGGAGCTCTGCAGAAGAAAAACGCTTGAAAATGCCAAAGGTAATGCGATTTTGGATAAAAACTTTATTATCACAACTTAAAATCCACTGAGAATGCGTTAAGTAGTAAAAAAAAAATCAACCAGAGTGGGACTTGAAAGTTATATCACCTATAGCCATAGCGTGTGGTAGTTATGTCTCTCCATATTGCTTCATTGAAATTAAAGGTGCTAACTGCAGGTCCCCAAGCTAAGTAAAACTAAAATGTTGGTTACTGTATTTTCAGCACAAACATGATGAAGATGCTCTGATCATGTAAGCTCAAACCTTTTTAGCTGCATAATGTGAATCATAGTGAATGAGTTAGCCTTTCCTCAAGACAAAGTGAAAACTGCAGAGTTTTATGGTTTATGGTACATAATCATAAATGCAGTCAAGTGGTGAGCATTTCACAGAGCTCGGGGAATAGTATTCCCTTTTTAATAACCCACCTCCATCATGCTTAAATCCTGTATGTTTTAATTTCCCTAACTCTTTATAAACATTTGTTCACCTCTCTAAGGTAGCTATTGCAGCTATATTAATAGTTGTTGCTGCAGAGCTGACAACACATCAGCGCCTCACCACACTCTCAGCAGGGAGCCTGTCTGTGGTTTCAGACAGTCTCACACCTGTTGTAAGCAGAAGCCGGGCTGGTTAACTGGGCCTGTGAGGATAAGATAGTAGGTCTGTGGCCGAGCCAGAGGAGTCCATTAACGAGTTAGATGCTTTAAAATAAAAGCCCCTAATGGACGCCTTATCTGTGGCTCACCGGGGCTTTAGGAGCATGTACGTGATCAGAGCTTCTCACCATGGAGGCTGCACAGTTCATGGGCTTGTTTAAGCTCAGGAAACCTGCAACTGCAGCTATGTATAAATCTTTTAAACACATACTGTGGGCCCTAAGTGCCCAAGGATCCTATTACATGCTGTCTAATTTTCGTATTTCATTCAGTTAAACCCTTAAGTTAGTCAAGTGTTGCAATTGTTTTTCTTCAAATGTGTAAAGAGTTTTAAAGCCAAAGGTAAAATAGAGCCATATAGTTTGTCTCATAGTTGACTAGTTTCTGAATTGAAAGTGATGTGATTTTCCCCCGTTGGCTTCAGTCTGTGTCACCATTACTTTAACTTAATACATAGTAAAGGCTATAATAGTTTCTTTTGTTTATATATGTCAGAACGAGTACCAAAAACCTTAACTTCATTTAAATACCACCAAGTAAAAAATCATGCGTTTCAGGGTGTATTAAAGATTTTATGAGGAGGTGATGAAAAAGGCTAAAACTAATTCTGATGTTTCTTTATGACACACAGAAGCAAATAAGACCATCATTAGTAAGAATGATTATTTCTATTTAGTTATTTTATAAGACTCCCCTCTCCACCACAGGGTAGCTGATTTATTTAACCCTTAAAGCAAAGCTGGACCAGATCAATTCTTAGAGACAACTGTTAAGTATAAAGAGGGTAAAAATAACAACAAACTTAGATGGACAAAATTGACACAAAGCAAAAGTTACTCACCGAAGCCTGAAGAAAAACAAAACAAAACAAGAATCACCGGCAAAATGTTAAAATCCCAGTTTATTATTTTTGACAAAAAGTGATCTATCATACACTTATTTACAACTGAATTATTAATAATTGATTGAAAGCCCATATTCCCTGTTGAGCTACTGATTGCAATTGACTCCTTACAATGTTTCATGAGGTCACTTATCATGTATGTAATAACCCTCACTTATTATGTATTATACTCACTTAAGCATGCAGTGCTGGGTGGTGATCCTGCAGTTGCTGCAATAAGTTTGATATATTTGACCCATAGACTGTATATAGAATGGACGCTGTCTGCCCCTAGCTGGGTGAAGCCACCGTGAGAACAGCACCCTCTGGTGACGGGCTGCAGTTTAGGTCATAAATCCCGCCTCCTCCAGCAATCCCTATGGAGCTGTGGACAAACTTTAGAAATAATTACACAGAATATAAATTTTTCTCCCCTCTGGTTGCGATGTTGACGTAATTAATGTAAGACTGTTTTGTGCTCAAGTCCTCTTTTTCTGTTCAACAAGTTATTAGGGGGTTCATGTTTTCTATGATTGACACTTCATACAGCCTATGGGTGTACGAAGATTGCGTAGCTCACCTGGGGGATACGCTGTTTGAGCAGAGCGGCATCACAGCGACTCTCCCACTGTGGTGGTGGTGGTTCCAGAAATTACCGAGAGCAATTTGGCTTCAAATACGTATAATGACGAAAGGTGGAGCCAAGTTGTCCATAGTATATACAGTCTATGATTTGACCCTTTAGACACATTGCTCTTGTGGCAGGTCAATAACTTGGTCATTTTCTAAATAACTGTGGCAAACCACGACTTGTTTATACACGTATATGAACTCATTTGTAGCATTATATCATCAAACTGGTCCTGTTGCAGCTTGTTGCAGTTATCTCTTATTCAGCTCTTTTATAAACTTTGGCGATCAAACAAAAGTGGGATGATCCTCGATGTTCAACAAAAAAATAAATCGTAACTAACTAACAAGTCCATGGGTAAGAAAACACTCTGAAAGTTGTCAAAATTGAGCACAGTTTATCAAACACTGTCAAACACAAGTTCCCAGAGTCGACAGGTAAACAGTGTGTGGCTGATTTGCAGGGGATGGCTAACAGCAGAGCTAGCACCACCAGTCTTCACGTCTCCATGCAGCTTTGATTGAAGCCTTTGATTAACACTTTATGATTGTTTGAATAAAAAATATCAGTCTTTGAAGATGTCAGTCCTTTCAGATTGTCTTTGAATTATGGTGATGTGAAAGCTCTGAGTTTCTTGTTTTTCTAACCCTGCTGCACACAAATGCACTTTTTTTCTCTGATGCTCTCATCGGGGGCTGCTTTCAAGGACACAGGAGCAGGAATTGAACCTCTTACCTCCTGGTTATGGGATTGTCTCGCTAACCTATTTCCATTAGACCATCATGACAAGGGCCTCTCGATGCTCTCCGTGCCTCGACTTCTAATACGACGCTATACATTTTCTGTCCTATTCCTCCCAGAGTCTCTGGTGTGCTTAAATCGTACACAGGCCTGCTTGTCTATCCCTGTTCAATATATGGGGTTCCATCAACTAAGTGAATCCAATAATGGGTAGCAGGCTGGGGGGAGCGAGGGGGGTAATCAACCCTGTGGATGTGCCTTGTCTTCTCGCTGGAGACCGGAGGAGAAATCCTGCACTTAATTGTTGAGGGGACCTGAAGTTCCAAAGCGGCAGCATTGAAAAGCAGCTTTAATTAGACATGGTTTGAGGCCGTTATCTCAGCGGGGGTCAGATCTGCTGCCACAGGAGACACACACACACCTACACACTCATATACACAGAACAATGCACAATACCTGCTTTCAAATGTGCACAGCCAGCCAGCCAATGGGGACTCAAAAGAGACATTTCTGATGTATGCTTGCAATCTCTTGAGTAATTTTTATTGATTTGCAGGGAGGAAGTGGCTCTAACAAGCTTCTCCTATGTGATAATCTCCTTTTAGCGATGAAAGCAGTGATTAGGAGGAGGGGCCCTGCTGCTTTCAGCAGTAATTGTGGAGTAATCAATCATCAATCTCCAGGAACTGCTCTGCAAAACACTCCTGCTTGGATGCTATTTTTGACCTCAGCGACAGTAAATAAGGTCTGGAGAACAAAAAAAAACAATAGACTGTTCCAGAAAAATATTTGCATTGGCTGTCTTAGTGTACCTGAGATAATAATAACTCATCCGATGTGGCTTTAAGAGGTATCCTGCTCATTATCAGATGCTGTTTGCCTCCACTGAGAGTTCAGTCTGTGGTTAAATGCTGCTGCTTCTTTCACGCTCACTCATGAACAGCTGTAATGTCCTTTGATTACCACAAGATGCTGACAATCTCATACGGCCCTCAGAGGCTCCAGATTCTGACCCAATTGCTGCTGCACCCCCACGGAGTCATTGCTGCTCTGCACAGCCACCACATGGTTTCACATTTCACGCCAGAAGCATGAAGGCAAAAGGCTGTTAGTGCGGTCGGTATCTAGAAAACATGCCTCGGATCATGTAAAAAGCTGATCTTCTCAGGGGGAAATACCATGCATGTCTTCCATGAGAAAAGGATTGTTTGTTTTGAACTCAAAAATCAATACCGCTGCAGCAAAATATGATTAGGGATGTTTCTTTGTTGCCAAGGAAGTTGGAAAATTGTACGAGGGGGTAATAGAAGAACAAATCCATCGAAGCTAAAACATCAAAGCTGAGACGGTTTTCCCTGCCTGGCTCCTGATTGTAGAGATTATGACGGGAAGATGGAGAATTAGAGAAGATTGTCTGAAGCGATTGGCTGATCTTCTGGCAGAATGACCTCAAGTGCTATCCTGACTGATTCAGAGACCAGGACAAATGGATGCCGTGTCCTACATTGGGACGATTAGATTAATAAATCAATCTCCATCCTCACCCGCCCATCAGGTTCCTGCCGGGGCTATTTTTGTGAAATGGGTTACAGATGATCAGAAAAGTTTCTCTTATTAGAGATGAGCCAAAGTTTGACACGAGCTCTGGCAAGACCTCCAAATAAACACAAGCTGGACACTGGTAGTGATTAAAAATGTGGCAAAAGAAGTAAATCTCTGCTTTGTAGAGGCAAGAAGTGCAGCAAAGCCAGGCATTGTTAGATAAAACCTCATCTACATATATTCTAATTTAGTGCACAGTGTAACACATCAGCTGCCTCCTGGCGTGTGACAAGAACAAGCCCAGACCTTCACCTCTCTCTTGTATTAAGCTGTCAGAGACAAAGCCTTCGTGTTGAGCAGAATGAGAGGAGAGTTTCTACAGGGTGGGCGATGTTTGAGTGATACTTCAAATAAGGGTTTATAATATCTCCCTATGGCTGCAACAAATTAGACTTTTTAAAACCAAAGGCTGCATTAATGTGACTGACATTATGACTGAAATCTTACTGTTTGAAGGTTTGGCTATAAAAATGGATGACATGTCTCCCCACCTGTTCCAGCTGAGTAAACGTGATGCCAAACCACCCGTCACAACAAGGAAACATCTTACACGTCTAAAATAAGAGCTTAAGCTGTTTGGATTTGCTCTTGAAGCTGTGACATGGATACTTTATACAGTCAAACCCATAGACTGTATATACTATAGACAACTTGGCTCCACCTTCCATCATTACACAGATTTGAAGCTGAAAAGCTCTTGGGATTTTCAGGATTCTCTCCACTCCCTGGAACCACCACTTGTGCCGTAGCATTGTACACATTTGGTGGAAGAGTCACCGAGAGTCGCTGTGATGACGCTCTGCTCATAATACGTAAACTTTGTACGCCCATAGGCTGTATCAAGTGTACCCTCTGATAACTTTTAAAAATGGAGCTGCACAGAAAAAAAGTGGACTTGAACACAAACCAGTCTTACGGTAACTACATGTCAACATTGCAAGCAGGGGGAGAAAAATTTATGTTCTGTTTAATAAATTTCTAAAGTTTGTCCACAGCTCTATAGGGATTGCTGGAGGAGGCGGGATTTATGACCTGTACTGCAGCCCGTCACCAGAGGGTGCTGTTCTCAAGGTGGCTTCACCCAGCAAGGAGGCAGATGGCGTCCATTCTATACACAGTCAATTGTCAAAGCTAAATGTTGTTGCAAAAACTAAAAATGTGATTTGTTTTTGACACATGCCCCATCCTTTAAAATAGAGGAGGCGGAGTCACTCTCTGTGATTTGGTGTCATTTTAGAGGAGCTTTGATGTTGTCAAACTTTTTTCATAGTCAAATATAAGAAAGAAAAACAAATGAGGGATTACAGTTTTCTTTGCACTGCCCATTTCAGACCGTTTTGAATAGGTTGGGACCAGAACAGGATGATGAAACCAACTAACAGTGCACCTATATCAAAATAAAGCTAACCTTTTAGAGTTCCGGATGATAGTTTGTGGCTTTAACTTGAATCAACTTTCTCTTTCTCGGTGTAATCATAAGACGCCCCCACAGTTGGGCTGAAACGAATAAGCAGAGGATCCCATTGACTGCCGCTCGTTAAATGAAGCCTAAAGATGTTTGTTTAGGGATGACTTTCTCCAGATTTTTTTAATCATAAGAAGTACTTTTAAGTTTCAGGGGCTTTGAAACCCAAGAACACTGGCAGTGCTATATAAAATTGTGTCATCAAACAACCCATGGGTTTAATTGTCTTTTCTAAAAGCACACACGTAGCAGACACTTTGACAAGAGCTATGAAAAAACTTTTGAGTATATCTGTGAAACACTGCAATTAAAAATCTCTGTCTCATGGTGCTGGCTGGCTGGCTGACTGGCTGTTGGCCAGTCCAAACTAATAGCCTTATTTCTGCTCTGCAAATATGTGAATAGGCTTCTCTTCCTAATGAGGGCCAGGATGGGTGGTGAATGACCTGTACCCCCCCCCTGCACTCATTATTTAGGCACTCGCAGAAGGTGCTGCTAATATTCACCTGGCAATTATGACGGATGGTGACTGATGGGGGAAATTTGGTCCTTTCTGTCCCTCCTCTAGAGGGTCACATCGACAACACTTTGAGGCACATCAATGCTGCACTATGAGCTGCCATGCAGGCGCTCATTTGGAAATAGTTATGTCAGGCCTTGGTGCTGTTTTTAGAAGCTTCCATTTGTACAGTGGGAAACGCCGGGCCCAGAGTGAATGTGAGATATTGTGCCATAAAACACAGGGAGGTCCAGGATGAGAGGAGAGGTGATTTCACCTCGAGGCAGAGCGAACAGACAACAAATTGATCCCTGTGAGCTTGTCAATGGATGAAAAATTGTTAGAAAATGAAATCACCAAGCTGCTGTAGACATTTACATCATGTTTTAGAGCAGAGAAGATGAACAGACGCTCCATGTCATGACATAAGAGTAGAAGAGGGAGGTTTTATAATCACAGGGTGGTACTGCACACAGCTCAGATGTAAGGATGTTCCACAATGAGGTGTATATTTATCATGTTTTATGACATCTGACATAAAAATGACTAAGACTGTATTCTCCAAGTGTTTCTATTCCACTGAATTTCCTGGTTGCAATTTAAATGTAAAAGCTGCAGTCATCCCTGAGTTCATGATGAAGTGATAATTGTGCTTAAAGCAGAGCGTATTGCTGGAACATCCCGATTTAACATCCTGATGTGGAGTGAAAAAAGAAAAGCTAGAGAGAGAGAGAGAGAGCTGGTGGGGGAGGGAGGGCGTATGTGTGAAAAAAGGTGGTGGGTTTGCTGCTGTTCATCCCACATCCCACCCGTGTGTTTGAGAGACATGCTGTGTGTAAAAGCTGGGTAGCCATGGTGTGGGTGTATTCCTCCGTGGCCCTGATCTCTGTAATATGAGTGTATTCTGAGTTGTGTACCCCAACCCCCACCCCACTTTATCTTATCCAGCCTGCCGTGAGTGTCAGTCAGGAGCTTCCCTGCAGAACTTGTTACTCTGTGAAGATCTCCCATGTGCAGCGTTCACCGGATAAAGTGTGTGCAGTCACCCGTGGGTTAGATGTGGGGTCATAAGTGGCTGTTAGTGCAATCCCAGGAGAAAAAGGAGCAAATGCAGTGCATTTGTAAATGTCCACTGCAGATTAAACATAGAGCAAATAGTGTGGAAGATATAATATATGGGTTTGGAATGATAAAAAGAGAATCCTTCATAGAACATAGATGATAGAGGTGTAAAATACCTTTCTCTGTTCTTATTTCTATCAGGAAGAATTCAGTATTTTCATGATCTTGAAAAGAATCAGCCTTTTTTTCTTATAGGCCAAAATGTGCCTTCAGTGTGCTTATTTTAGAGTCATTTCAACATCTTAGCTGCTGCCTCACACATTTGATCACTTGAGGGAAAAAAAAACAAGAAAAAAAACTGTCAAATCAGGCGAATCCTCTTCCCTCCTCCTCCTAAATTGTCTGTCTTTGTAGTACCACTAGGCAACAGTGCGTGCATCATTGGAAACGTGGAAGTGCGCAGGAGCCGCGCAGGGAAATTGACGGGAAACGAGGATCCAAGGAGCCTTAAAAAAGAAAAGATCATCCAGTGGATCTCTCCGCCTGAATCATGAAAAATCAGTCGACATTTCTGTAAGAGATGCCCGAGAAGAACCTGGCCACTAGCGTCGATGCGCGCAGCCAAAAATGACGACAGTGGGACAGTGATTTTTTCCCTCCAGCTTGTCATTTTTACTCTCATGCTCGGATGCAATCCATCTCCTATGTGTACACATCACAGAAGAAGGACTGGAAACCAGATCATCTCCAACACAAGCGCGCACAGAGACGTTTTATCCTGGGAACCGTTTCCAACGACTGATTACGCAGAGATTTTGCTGTTTCATGGGCCGGTGAGGGATATTGAACTTTTGCACGACAACTAACTGTGTGAGTACAGTTTTGAACAGGTCGATACAGCCCCAACCTTCACGGGCGATGAGTAATCCACGACGCAGCAACTGATAAACCTGTAAAACCTGGACTGCGACTGGCGCGTTTGGATACTTCATCCTGTGCGTCTTTTTTATTTCATTCACATGGCTTCTATCATCGAGGTTTGTAAAGAACTGTTACATTATTGACGTTTCATGGCTGTAAGGTGTAGCAACAGTAGTGTGTGGCGAAAGGGGACGGTGCAAGACTAACTAGTGGCGAAGACAGCGCACTTTTATCGCCTTATTTCCAAAAGGGGAGACGTTGCGCACGGGCACTGCAGCAACTACAAGCCACACTGTTTTTATTTTTCATCATTGAATCCTTTGTTATCCCTTCTGCTGCTGTCATCGTAGTATGTCTGCACTTCGAAAGAAATTTGGGGACGATTATCAGGTAGTGACCACCTCATCTAGCGGGTCTGGATTTAACCAGCCTCCCCCGGAGAAAAAGAAGAAGAGGCAGCGCTTCGTGGACAAGAACGGGCGATGTAACGTCCAGCATGGGAACCTGGGTGGTGAAACCAGCAGATACCTCTCAGACTTATTCACAACGCTTGTAGATTTGAAATGGCGCTGGAATCTGTTTATTTTCATCCTCACCTACACGGTGGCTTGGCTCTTTATGGCCTCTATGTGGTGGTTCATCGCGTACATCAGAGGAGATCTCAACAAAGCACACAACGACAAGTACACTCCATGTGTGGCCAACGTGTACAACTTTCCCTCAGCCTTCCTCTTCTTCATAGAGACCGAAGCCACCATAGGATATGGGTACAGATACATCACAGACAAATGCCCCGAGGGGATCATTCTCTTTCTTTTCCAGTCGATCCTCGGATCGATCGTCGATGCCTTTCTGATTGGCTGCATGTTCATCAAGATGTCTCAGCCCAAGAAAAGGGCCGAGACGCTGATGTTCAGTGAACATGCGGCGATCTCCATGCGAGATGGGAAACTAACTCTCATGTTCAGGGTCGGCAACCTGCGTAACAGCCATATGGTGTCTGCACAGATCCGCTGCAAATTACTCAAAGTAAGTCATGCCATCTTTAGTCAATAAGGGGAAAAGATTTGAGTTCTGATGTGGTTTTTTTATCTGTTCAGATCAAATTTGTTTTTTTATTTTATTTTTGTAGAGGGCAATACACCAATATTTAAGCCTACCCATCACTTTACGGGGAAACTTTGAAGACAAAGCCTCATCCTCTTTAACAAACGTCTAAGAGTACAATGACACACAAAAAAATGAAGACCACAAGTAACGATGACACCATCAGACATGCTCCTCCAAAGTTAGAGCACAGAAGGCTTTTTATCTTCTCCAAAAATATTCATATTTTATAGACAGGATAGAGAAAAATGTAACCCTCCCCAAGTTTACAAGGAGGCCTTTCCAGCAACGAAATATCAGACCTTAGGAATAAAATGTTGGTCCTGTACCCTTTAAGTCCTAAAGAAGTGTAACAGGTGGTGATTAAAGTGCTGCTACCTCTTAATAGGAGGAAAATATCCATGAAAATCTGTACTAATCCTCCTGATTTAACAAAATCAATAGCAAATGTTAAAAAATAAGTTTTTAACACCAGTCCACCTGTTAATTTATTGGAATATAGTGATAGTAAATAAGATTATGTGAACAGTTTCATTCAGATTAAGGTGAGACGAAACTCTAATTCAAAGAATTACTGCAATCTAATCCAAACTATGAAATGAAAAAAACTCATTGTTGTTTTGGTTGTTTGAAGCTTGTGTAAACATTTGGTGAGTGTAGGCAGTTCAAGTAACATGTTTTAGTCATTTTTGGTTTGGTGTAATGTAGGATACATGTACCTGCAGGACAAAAGCCTTCCTGGATGGCATCCTGGAAAATTGTAGAAATGACCCAATGGTCTGACTGATGGTTGCTCTGATTGCACCTTACTTGTGAGAAAGTCTCACACAGCCTCTATATAAGATGCACAAAAGTATGTCTTACCCCCTTTTCCCCCCTCCACCAAGCATCTCTGTCTCTTGTCTCTTCTTGTACGCTTCCCCAGTCTCGCCAGACGCCCGAAGGCGAGTTTCTTCCGCTGGATCAGTTGGAGTTGGACGTGGGTTTCAGTACTGGGGCAGACCAACTCTTCCTCGTCTCGCCACTCACAATCTGCCATGTGATTGACACCAAAAGCCCCTTTTATGACCTCTCCCAGAGGTCCATGCAGACGGAGCAGTTTGAAATCGTAGTGATACTTGAAGGGATAGTGGAGACGACAGGTGAGTACCCACAGATGTACACTTTTGTGCTTTTGGAAATGAGTTCTTTAACTACATGAGGCTGAATCTCAGGTCATAGATTATGTATTTTAAGGCTGGCACAATGTTTTTTTAGCAATACATCTCATAAATAATATTTAGAGACATCGTGTTGTTGACAGCTGATGCCTTTAAGGACTCGCACTTGACATCTTGATTGCGTCTCATTGATTTTTCCTTCTGTGGCAAACTTACAGCACAGCTAATAATAGCAGTGTTTAACATTTATACATAATAGATGATTGCTTTTGTCTTGTGGGCATTACAAGCTACACTTTTAATCCCTGCATTTTTGGTTTTCGGGGGAAAGGACAGAAGTTTCGAGCTCTGTATGAGTATCAGGCGCACAAACACTTCAGCAGGTCACTTTTGGGCTATAAACATTTTCTTTTCCCCATCTGAAACAAATTCCATCTCCTGCTTTTGTGCCCGCACAGCACTTACTTCAGGGCTGCTATTCTCGCAGGGGATAATAATTTCCTTTCTAGGGTCCCTTTGGAATTAGGGAATCCCATTTCCACAAGATGAGTAATGCCTGAAGTAAAAATCCTCCACTGTGGTCATTTTAAATTCAAACCGTTTATTTGACACAGCTGATGTAGTGTGTGAGGAGAGAGCTCTTTTCAGTGCTATAGGGCTGAATAGTTGTAAAAGGGTGGCTGAGAGAAAGCAGCATATGGAGATGTGACAGGGAGGCTTACAGGCTGGCTCTGCAGACAGCAATTAGCAGATAGTTAGTGCCGGGTCTTACAGTCTCTTTGCCGCTGAGAGTATTTGACATAAAAATCTGCAGTTTATGACTTGCAGCATTTACTTTGAGATGCTTTGACAGTATTTTGCATATTTAGACACACATGTCACATGCATACATATTGTTAAAAATATAGTATGAGTATTGTGTGTAAACATTTTAGAGTTCAGCCTGCTTATTGTTGAAAGGAGAGGATTTCTCTCAGTTTATGTGGTCTCACATTGCTCTCAATATGTCATTTTTAATAGCTAGGAATACAGGGCTGTGTGCAGGCTATTTTGGTTTTGAGGAATAATTGTTTTCGCTGATATTTCAGCATAAAATTATAGAGGTACAGTAGTTACCAAAGAAGCACATGTCCCCCTATAATAGTCATACTATTACCTCTGACTGAGCGATTTTGGGAGAGTCGCCTCTCACGCTTTCACGTCACAGAAATGTCTGCATCCAGGGACAGTCGAGCCTATGTGAAGTTGGTTTCGAAAGGCTGATGTAGAAACAATCTATGGTTAAAAATTTATGTACAGTGAAAGTCTAAATCCTCAGATGCTTTCATTTCTGGCCAATGTAACTCTGTTTCCATGGCAACCTCTCCTTGAGTATTCAGGATTGCAGCACTGCACCTAAACTTAGATATTTTTTTATTCCTATGGTATAGGGCTCACAACACAATTTCAGTAATAATAAAAGCGGGGCAAACATGTGATGCCGAACATGGAATGAAATTGCTTTTTTGTTGACAGCATCACCTGGTATTAGAGCGGATCTCCGCTGAGGTCTATAATAATCAAAGAGGGCCTGGTACTGTACAAGAAAGTGTTGGCTGGAACAGGTGATACAGCAGAGAAAGAATAAGATGAAATATTTATGAGGCTTGTTGTTTACTAGCAAGGATGCTGCCTAACTCCCCAGATCTTTTTTTATTTGTTATGTGTGAAAAAAAAGTCTGGAACACGAGTTAAAACACTCTGTACTGCAGATTAAAGCTTGCACAATCACCAGCTTTTGCTCCCTCTTACCTGATAATGACAAAGCACATGGGAGTACCCTTTCTGGTGTTGTTACCTCTTGTTCCCTCAGATCACACACATATTTCGGTCCAACTGAAGTTTCTCTCTACACAACAAAACAACCCAGGAAGAGATCGTGTACGAGCTCAGAATTGTTACATTTAGCTGTAACCTCTGATGACCTCTTCATTGTATAAAAAGGCAGGAAAGACTCCTCACTCCATTTGAAAAGGAGCCCAAGATGTTTTTGATCACCACCCCGGTGCGTTGCTCGTTCCAAATGAGACATGTAGGATGTCTGGTAGCAGCATATTTTCTCTTGGAGTGATGCCAGTTGTGGCTCTGTGGTATCAAGTTGCTTTTCTAACACGGCTGCAGGAAGATGTTATACCGCTGAGGATAAATTAGGTTTACATCACGTTGCAGTTAATGTAGTGTACATGTCTTCTGAAAACACAAGCCAGCTGTGGGGAGGGAGCAGAAGCACAAATCAGAAGGCTGTAGTTACAAGTTTTGGTTGAGTTAACTGTACAAATAGATAAAGCCTCACACGATTTAAGTCAATACAAGCACCACATTCACCATTCTCCAAGTACCTTTGGAGGTGCTGAGGTGTCAGTGGCTACAGAGCAGATCTGCATGTCAGGTAGTTTTGTGTTAATGTGAACCTCAAGACAAGAACAGACTTATGCAAGCTTTGTGTATTGAAAGACAGGTGTTTAGATAACAAAAGTGAGATTTAATACTGCTAAAGCAAATTACAAGCATCTGAAGTCCTGCTGATACTGAAATCCAAAAAGCGTGGATGCCAATTACTATTGTGATTATAAATGTAATCTATGAGGAAATTTCTGCTACCATTGAGCTGTGACAAAAGTATGCACCAATTAGATTTTTCAGTTGAACAAGTCTGCAATGCAGTAGCATCTGTTCGTTTGCAATGTGGTGGAATCTGCTGAACAAACTGATCACAGTTCAGCTTCTGCTGTCTTCATATTACTCCTTAGAAATGTGCACTAACTTGTTTGTATCTGTGCACAAGTACTTGCATATATAACACTAATTATTCAGCAAGTTTCCTGCTATAATAACTCTCATGCTCCCATGTTCATCTGGTAACATGCAAATAACTTTCAGCAACGTGTCTTTATGGTTACACCAAGCCTTAGTATGATATTTAAATCCGGATTAGGAAACAGCTTTTTTCTTTTCATAAGCCAAACTGCTGTTTTTGCTAAATAAAAACACATATGAAATACACATATCGTGTGCTTATAAGAATATCCCTCTAGAGCTGGATGTAACAGCAGCTACCTTCTCCTAGAACCATGTAATGATGAACTTGAATCTGAAATTACATTTACCTTGTGTTATGTAAAAAATAGCTTTTAATTACTCTGCTAAAATACCTCAACTTGAGAACCATGCTGTAAATACATTACCAGTACATGGATGAATGCATAATAGGAAAAACACTGAAGAAACCTGATAGTCCAGTGATATTTTTAAATATCAGAGTATAGCAGAGTGACAAGTAAAAGCAGCTAGTTCGTCACTTAAATCTAACATCTAAACTGTGTGTGTTTAATGGACATACTTTTTGTACATTTTCTATAAAGTCTGTGTTTAAATTTTGGATGAGTGAAAATCTATTGTTTTCCCAATCTTAGTAGAATTAGCTAACTGTTTTTTTATTGAAAAATCTGCCTTGTTAGCTAATAACAAGGCAGAGACGAGAGGACTACTTCTCTTGAGTTAACCCTGCATGCTGGAGATGTACTGTTTGTAAGCAAAAGGCTAGTTTGGTACGCTCTCAAAGCCTTCCCAGAATTTCTGGTCTGATTTAATAACTACTATGTTAAGCTACGACTTTAAATATGATCTCAGTATGTTAGAGTCACTTTCCAGCATTAACTAGTTAACTTATCATCCCGTAGCTTATCCTCCACCCCTTTTAACCTCTGACACAAACGAAGTGATGATAGCAATAATGCCACATTAAAGGCTACGGGACTGCTGTTTCGGCAATATGGTGGCTGTTTCATTAGTGGTGTCCCAATTCAGGGGCTGCTTCCTTCAAAGAGTACATCTCAAGACTAACTGTGTCACAGCTGCACTTTGAAAGCTGCCCCATTCCCGAGGCTCCTTCAATGAAGGGGGACACAAATGTTGAAGTATGAAAGGGGCGTGAAAACTTCAAATCATCTTTGAAATAATAGGTTACATTTTGTGATGTTAGTGACCAGTATGTCCCTAGTTCTGGTACTGCTTTTAAGGTTGCTAGGCGACAGGAGCAGGGTCCAAGATTGACAGGGTAAGGGCGGAGATAGTTGATGACACAAACAAGAAATCTTCCATAGAAAAGGAAGTCTCCCTCCGTGTGGCCTGAGTGGTCTACCCAGGCTTCAAAGACTGAAATTTGACCATAGACTGCACGTAGTGTTTGGCAGGTTTGCAAGTTAGAGAGTTTTGAAGCCTGTTGGTGGCGGTCACAAGTGAACATTAGGTCAACCTAGCAGAGGCGGGCCTTTAACTTTCTTATAAATTGTTAAAGTGTGCTTGCCTGACAGTCAAGTCAGCCATGTATCTGGTTGGCCGTCTCTGGACCTCCTAACCATGGTAACTTCAGAATGAATGTGTTTGAAAAAATAACGTCTTTACAGTGAATGCACTCATGCTGCGTTCCAGTTGTACTTGGAAGTCAGATTATCCGAGCTGGGAGCCGGAAATTCCTCTGGAACGCACCCCTGAAGTCGGACAATCCTCACCAACCCCAACTTGACGACTACGTCATAATCTAAAATGGCAGCGCAGTGCATTAACAGTAAAGAGTAACATTGAAAGCTCTCATAATGTATTATTTATTACCACTTCTGTTTTGTTTTTGTGAAATTAAACAAGTGGTATATGTTGTGCTGCCCGATGTCTAACTGTGAACACAGTGCTATGGTGATTGTAAGAGTAAACTGAATAAATTGTATACTGTGTTATGTGTTGTTTACAACTGGTATAGCTAACAACAACTAACAACAACTGACAACGGCTAACGACAGCTAACAATTGTAAACAACAGCTAACAACGGCTAACTGTAGGCGTCTATCTTGATTTTCCGACTTGTTAACTGGAATGCCGTCAACTCGGGTGTAGCGTCAGTTCCAGCTCCAACTTCCAAGGTAACTGGAACGCAGCATCAGAGTTACTTAGATCCAAACCATTTTTGTTAAATAAGGCTGCACACATCTTATTTTGATTCAAAAGTGGCTTCTTTTTTGCCTTAGTATGTATGTGGTTTCCAGTGGTACCGCAGACAGCCTCAAGTGGACACTGGAGGAACTGCACTGGTTAGCACCTCTGCATCAGCTTCATTTCTCCAGAGCAGAGGTTGCTGCTTGATTCTGACACAGCTATTAACTCGGTGGTCTAGTTGAAAACACCTGCATGGGTGCACAAGGTGTTTAATTCAGAGTTTGATTATAATCAGTTTCCACAGCAGACTTTCTGCTGTGTCACAGCGGGAAAATTACAGGTGTTACATATAATATTAACAACAGCTCCTTCCTGTGCAGATGTACCAGTGTTACAGAGTTACATGCCTCTCACATTGTCCTGTGTAGAAACAAATCTTATTCCTGATGTGTCAAGTTTATCATAAATGTGTTTCCATAACAACTCAAAAAAAAATGTTGAAAAAGTGCGTTATAAATAGCACTGCAAGGTCATTCTACAGAGCTGATCATGACCTGACTTTGACTCATTCGCTGATTCAGAACTACTACATGCAGCCTTCTTAAAATACATCACAAGTTTAGATAAGTGTCCCATTACCACACCAGTAATGCTGCTCAACACAACAAAGGCTTAAACGTCAAGCCAGAGGCAATCTGTTCATTAGTGGGGCTGATTCTTGAGGACCCAAAATAAACTGTAGCTGCCAGTAACAGACGTTTATGTTCCCCCAACCATGAAACTAATCAGTGCATTGTAACTAAATTCATTTCTTTATTTGCTCTGCAGGGTTTGTACAGGATGCTGTGACGCCACAACAGCCCTGTCTGAATGCTGCAGCGTACGGAGAGCTGAATATGTGTTTATGTAATTTAAAAGAAGGCAGTTTACAGATTAGAGAAATAATAACTAATTGGGATAAACAAGCTGATGATTTTTTTAAAGGGCAAACTCGATTTTTTTTTCAGAGCAGTAGGAAGTCTGAAAGAAGCACATCAGTCTATCCCTGAATTTATAGTGTTTGGGATCTAACATGGAGGCAAACCACAGTGTTAAGATCCTCAAAGCTCTGCAAAGTGCTTTTAAATTCACTCATCAGTTATGAAAAGCAATGATTCATAAACTCTATCATCAGCATAAACCCTTTTTTTCTGTTCAGAGGGATGTGACTTTCATGCAAATGTGTGTTGTGTGATCACTCGACTTGCCGTGAAATTCAGAGAACAGTGCAAATAAGAAATATTTAGGAAATGTTTTCCAGCAAAGTTGTCAAGGTTTAAGGGATTAGGGGGCATAAAGTTTTGTTCTTGATAAACCAAGCTGTCCTGCTGTTCATTTAAATGCTCATAGTTGTTTGCTCAGAGCCTTTTCAATCTCAACTTTTCCCTCACCCTTCTGGTGACACGGCACATTTGTGCTGCTGGCAAACAATCTCTGCTTACTGAACTAACTAATAGTCTCATATTTGAAAATTATTTCCCCCTCAATGTGTGTTGTACATGAAACTCAGCGTCACATTTCATCTCTTGATTTGATTAGGAGGCAAATTATGGCAAAAAAAGATCAGAATCTCTCTTCTTTCTCCTCTTAAGTCGTGCGTTGATTGTTTTCAAAGATTTCTGTCGGCCCCCTCTTTTTCATACTGCTACAAGGCTTTTCCTATGATTCACTGTAACAGAATAAAAAATAGAATATCCCAGCTATCTGCTCGTTTTAAAATGAGTGTGGGTGGCAGGGGCTTGGTTGCATATAGACAGGATCAAGTGGTAATGTTTATTCATGTGTTTAAATGCAGTATGTGACCGGCGAGAGCAGCTTTAAATTATGATTCTGTCACCTGTATGCTCCGAGTTTCAGATTGTGCAGCTGCAAAGGACCTGTGCAGGATGACAGTCCAAAGTAAATAAGCAAAATAAACATTCAGAGATTAAGTTTTGAGATTTATGAGGACATGTATTTAGCTTGAGTACCAAAAACACCCCAAGACAACAATGCCAATCAAATGATTAATTAGTGGACCTGTGCTGTGAAGAGTAATTACTATCATGTTACACAATACTGGCTTCATCAGCTTGAATTAATTCATTGTTGTTGTGCAACAAACATACATAAAGTGCATATTGAGAAAATTAAATAAAGATGAATAATCACTTTGATACAGACTCTTTCAGCCAAGATAATTAAATGGCAACATCTATTGCCACTGATTAGCAGAGCAGCAGATGTCGTAGCCCGATCTGTTTTATTATCAGCAGCAGTAATTGAAAAGTAAATGGAGAGCATTTTGTCGCTCCAGAGGCTCCATAGTGTCAGTGGTATGATTTTACAGTCTTAGCCCTGGAGGTCAGGGGTCACCTATAGCTGGGAAAATCATAGCTTGAGCAAACAGCAGCACAAATGAACCCGAGGTACAAGCCAGGAAACTGAGCATAATTCATTACCTGAATGGCGTTGTGTCTGCGCTCTTTCTTGGTATCTCAGCCCTGCGGGTCAAAGGGTTAAAGATGGTTCAGTGTGGGAGCTGAAGCCGCAGATCAGGTGAGAGCAGGAGTTTCCAATTAAAGCTAATGTGCTCAGGGTGAGGTATCTGGGGAGACGCGGCTGTCCCTGTTGAGCTCCACCTGTGCAGTGATAGGCCACGTGTTGATACCTTGCAGCCCTCAAGTTAAACTGGATATCATGCTTTTGGCTCATTTGACTTTATTAGGAGTACAAACAACAACGACTTGCCTTGAATATTTCAGTTTGACAAACAAGGTCATGTTTTTAGTGTCACAGAGAGGTGGAGTAAGACATAAAGTCTGGATATGGGAAAAACAGCGGTGTACAGATACTCTCTACTGCACTCTTTCTTTTGCAAGAGTGTCCCTAGTTATATTTAGGCAGAGAATTATGCAAATTCAGGATTAGTGAATTGTGTTGATGGAACTTGATGCATTTTCATTGAAGAGAATTCTGCATTATACAGTGGCTTATCTTTATTTGCAGATTTTCCATGAAGAGAAGAATTTCTACCTGGAAGTCTGGGCATTAGTTTAAGTTTTCAGGTTTCCATTTATGATAGGCTCATTGTCCAAAGTAGTACCATTGACTGTATATAGAATGGGCACCGTCTGCCCCTAGTTGGATGGAGCCACCTTGAGAACAGCACCCTCTGGTGACGGGCTGCAGTATAGGTCATAAATCCCGCCTCCTCCAGCAATCCCTATGGAGCTGTGGACAAACTTTAGAAATTTATTACACAGAATATAAAATTTTCACCCCCCTGCTTGCGTTGTTGAGATGTAGTAATTTTAAGACTGGCTTGTGCTAAAGTCCTCTTTTTTTCTGTGCAGCTCCATTTTTAAAAGTTATTAGGGGGTTCATGATTTCTAAGATTAAAGGTCCTTAGACACCGGGACCGTCGATATACGATGAATATACGACACAAAATTACGAAATATTCGGAGGCGAATTTTGACGTGCCTGACTATACACATCAAGTGCAATGCGATTTTGTTAAAAAAAAAAAAAGACGCATCCTGGGTGGGAGTGAGAAGACTGACACAACACCAGACTGACTGTTTTTCAGTTCTGATTAGACACTAGTGTTGAGATGGCTGTCTGTCATGATAGCATGTACTGAGTCGGGGCCAGTACCAGATAAACACATTAAACTATAATCCATGTACGTAAGGTAACAACCGAGACCTAATGGTGCTGTGACAGCAACGCGATTGAGTTTGAGACAGTGAAAATACATATTGTATGTTGTATCTGAACAGGTTAGCTTACGAGCTAAAGTTACTTAGCACAGATGAAAGTTAAAACAAAGACGTTTAGCACACTGTTAAAGCACACAAACTATCGTCATATGAGAAATCCGACTCTATGACTCCTCAAGTTGTCCTTCAGATTGTTATCTTTGTAATGTTTGTGTCTTTTATCAAAAAGTTCTCTGTTCTCCAACACATAAACAATCAGCCGCTCGACCATGTTGGATATACCGGTGAATCTGACGTCGCAACAACATGAAATCTGATTGGTCAGAAGTGGACACACAGTATGTGAAACTTTGGAAAAATCAACTGTGATCAGAAAAAATAAATTCAGCAATATCACAGGATGGGAAAATGTCGCTGATGTGAACGCTCGTATTGACAGGATACTGGTTCGAAAAAAAATATTGACGTCCGAAGTAATTGCACGAAAAAAGCGGTCCTGGTGTGAAAGGACCTTTACACTTGGTACAGCCCATCGGCGTACAAAGCTTACGAAGCTGTTTGAGCAGTGCGTCATCACAGCGACTATCCCACTGAATACGTACAGTGCTACTGTGCAAGTGGTGGTTCTAGGAAGTGGAGAAAATCCTGGAAATCCCAAGAGCAATTCGGCTTCAAATTCATGTAATGGCGGAGAGCAGAGCCAAGTTGTCCATGGTATATACAGTCTATGAGTAGTACTCACCAGTGACTTTGGTATATGCAGTAAAAACAGTCCGTATGGAGAGCAAAAGCAGGCTGAATGCAATCAGCAGTGATGATGTTGCAGCTCCAAACGATGCAGCCTGGTGACCCTGAGACAATCAGATGGTGTATTGAAATCTGCTCGACACTGTGTTGTGACAGCTGATCAGTGTTTGGATTTCCATTTGAAATGATTCATCTGACCTCTGTTCAACAAACAAACATTACTAAAGTTGTTTCCTCTCCTCCTGAAAACAGACCTGACATGCCTTCATGGTCTTGCTATTCCAGCAAATTAAAGACCTGTTAAATGCTTATCAAATCAACAAGAAGATAATCTGTTAATATCGTTAAAGTAAACCAGAGTGAAGCCTCTGTGTAATTTACTGCTTGCAGTGATGAACAAGTACTCTAGCTTTGAACAAACCCCAAAATGACAGCCTTTACTTTACAGACATAACTAGAGGGCTGAATTTTGCTTCACTGTCAATTTCGATTTGTTGTCTTTTGAACTGCAAAGAATTGAGCACACAGTGAAGAGAGTTTTAGCTAGAAGTTATGAATCCTTTGCCGCTGGCTACAAAGGAATACCTGAAAATTTCACAGCCATTTCCAGAGGCGGTATGTTGTCAGGTGATCATAAATGAGTTAAATTTTAAACACCAGGTTAATAAAGGTAGCCTGGTTTAACCTGCATATTGTATCTAATAACAGAGACATTAGCCTTGCTGATAAAAGATAAACAAATAAGGACATATTTGTACTGTACCTACAGTAATAACACCAGGGATGAACTCCACATAATGGGCACTGCAGCCAACCAGCAATGACATCCTGGATTCATTATCCCTTTTAGATGAACTGTGCTGGCCTCCCGAGGGGGAGTACAGTAATTGTGTCTTTAGGGATTTGTCAAGTCCCTATTGGATGGCAATAAATCACCAGTTGAGGAGGAGTGGAGGGAGACCTGAGATGAACTTGTGTGACGAAGGTACCATCAGTGCCCCAGTCTTAATCACTAAATGAGGAACCTGGAATAAGTCACTTTGTCATGTTTGCCTTTGGAACTCTGTGCCCGATATTTGGAGAAAGGACACTATATCGCTCAATATTAACCCTCATCTTTTCCCTGGATCGACACAGGAAAAACATTTTCTTTCAGGGATTACACGGACGGTTGTGATGCACTTACAATGCTGTTCGATGGCAGCATTGATTGTCAGCGCTCTGACCGTCCCTGAAGTGCAGGTGGATCAATCTTGTGGCCTAAACGCAAAGCCACATGAACAAGTTCTTAAAGCTTGTCCTCTCAACATAGACCCTCCTCTGGGATGTCTCTCTCTCGCTCTCTCTCTCTCTCCCCCTTCCCCTCTTGGAGATGCTCAGGTCTACCATAATAATCTGCACTTCAGCTTGAGTGACAAAATCAAAAGGCAATTTCTTAACAGCTAAATCACACCATGTGTGATCTCCAGGGGTTTAAAAAATCTCTCTTTGTCTCCCCTTTTCCTCTGCGTACTTTAAGTACATGTAATAGCTGAGATCGATGTGAGATTACAGCTGTCACTCTTACATTGCAGGGAGAAAAAAAAAAGGGTTTCTAATCACTTCTGCACTCAATGTATCTTGCAGAGAAACTAATTCGCAGCCCAGTGCATTTGGACACATTCCCAGAGTGATTCTCCTGTATGACTGATTCTGGTTGTTTGGTGTCAGGGGAATCAATAGATTGCTGTTTTGCTCAACTGGTTCCTTTTACGCATCGTTCAGGATTGCCTTCGCTTGGTAATATGTCCTCTCCTGGCTGTGTTAATGGCCTGCAGCCATATGCTCCTCCAGCCTGCATGACACCCCACCTTGTGTGGAGATGGTTGGCAGCTCTTGCTCCTACTCCCTTCCCTTGCCTTCGCTCTCCAACAGCCACGATTGCCTCAGCTTTCAGGCTCTCCCCTCCCCCACAGCCGTGCGCTCCCCCTGCCTTTTCCCCTCCATCATCTTCCTTCTTGTTCTCACTTCTGTACGGGTTGACTGGGAGCAACCCTCACAAAAGGATCACACACTAAAACAGCATAAAAAACACTTAGGGAAAGGCAGTGAATTCAGTCTCTGTAAAGTCAAACTGTGAAAAACAGGTCGCTGAATGCTTGTGGATGTTTCTACACTTTAGCACTTGATGGTGGTCACCATAGAAACAGATGATCAGACAGGACTTGTGGCCACAATAGCAGTGTCTGTATCAAAATTAGATTTTTTTAAAAGCTATTGCAGCCACTATTTGTCCTCTCCTTTGTTACGTTTTATTGAAAAGAGAAACAAGTCAGCCGTGAAATGTCAAAACACTAAAACCCAAATTAACCAGTCCTTTGAATTGAACTTTCCTCTCTTCAGTAAGCTTAAACTCACCCCTGCTTCCTTATATTCTCTTGTTCTTCTGCTTTGCATTACCATATTCAGCAGAGGAGCGGCTTAATCTGTTGTAACACAGATCCCAAAATAAGACAAAGGGGAATTCTGCTTCCTGTTTTGCACAAATGAACAACAGGATAATTGTCTCGAATTAATTGTCTCTCCACACAATCCAGCTCTGCAGCAAAGGCATTTTTGTGCACAGCCCTGGCCAGAGCGAGCGAGCGAGTGAGCACCCGACAATGAGATCAGGATGAATCTTGGACTGCGTTGTGTGGTTGTAATGCTGCTCTGTGTGTGCGTATGTGCGCAGCGTCCAGATCCTCATGCTTGTTTTTGCTCGCATTTTTCTCATACATAACACTTGAGCTGTTTCCACAGCCGTGATAGACTGTCAGGGGACTTTGCTGACAGCACTGCACTGGTGAATGAGTTTGCGTGTGTGTGTGTGTGTGTGTGTGTGTGTGTGTGTGTGTGTGTGTGTGTGTGTGTGTGTGTGTGTGTGTGTGTGTGTGTGACCATTTGAGTGACTGAGTGAGAGAGAGAGTCAGACAAAAAGAGAAAGAGAGAGAGAGAAGGGGAGGTTATTTGTGAATTTGTCACTAAATAGGAGCCTGCGTATAGAGTCCCTGACGCCTACCCTTCTTTTTTTGTTGGTGACTTGCACTGTGAGAGTTCATCTCGAGGAATCATTTGAATAAACCTTCATTTTCACATAGCCGTCAATTTGGAGTGTCATTTGCTTGGAGCCTGGGGGTTGTTGAATCATATAATAGTGGTGATTTCTTTTTTTCTTTTTGCACAAATTCAGATTGAGACCCTGCCTGAGTGGTGTGACAGAGCTGCTCCCCCTTTGACTCCCTCCTCCATCCACAGGGGTATAAGAGCAGAATATGTGGCTTACCGCAGGCTAAAAAACAGACATGATCCCCTGGCTTCAACAACCTGGATTAGCTTCTTTTAGACGACCCTGTCTTTGAATACCACTTAGATTTTTTCTTTTTTCGGCTACTATCAAGGCACACTGGCAGGCTGCCTCCGACTTTACAGTGCTCTTTTTTCTGTCCCAGCCCCCGAAGAAGCCGTTTTATCTTCACTGTCACTCCTCTGACTGTGCGGCTGCCTCACTTTGTTAGACCAGAGGAGCAGCCAGCTCTGTGTTATCAAGGAAAAAGTGCATTTATTTAGAGTCTCAAGCTGAGATGGCTTTTGGGCATCTAAATCTCAGAGTTTATTCTTGACACAACTTCCTGCCTCCTTGCCTTTTTTCTTTATTCCAGTCTGTAATGGAATCAGCTGGGAGTCGGTGAAATATCTCCACGCTGTACAGTGCAGATAGAGACACACATCATATCTCACTGCTGTGTTGTCATTGCCGTTTCAGCCCACTTTTTCAAACACCATTTGATTTTCTTATTTGGATTACGCCTGGAGATTTCACTTGAAAACATATCTGTTGCTGAGTTGGTGAGAAAAAGTCTCAGCGTGAAACCAACCTGTACACATCAATGCAGAAAAAGTGTCCTCTTTGATTTTCCATCTTCTTCCCCCCCTCTGAAATTCACCTCTAATGAGATGCCTTTTTTTTCCACGTCTGTCTTGAATTTGTGGATTCAGCGGAGGATTATTCTAATGCTGCTCATGCTGTCACATGGATATTGCATGCTGTGTGAAAGCAGTAAACTGCCGGGTGAACTTCAGCGACAAGGGGGGCTTCTGAAAGGATTTCACACTTGTGTAGGATTAAGGTATACATTAGCCAATCAGCAGAGATCATATATCCTGCAGCCTGTGCACTGTTGGCAGGGTGACATCGGCAGTTCTTACAGGATGTGACTTTATCAGCAAGTTGTCACATCATATTTTCCAAGTTTGTTGCTGCTACTTATCCTGTACTGTATGCTGCAGGTATTACTTTTTGCTAAGGTGATCGGTTTGGTTTTTGACTGGTGGTGTACAGTCAAAAGTAACAAATACATCCAACATAAAGTATTTTAATTGGATATTTCAGTAAAATTTCAACCATATTCTTGTTTCTATGTCCTATTAAGGCCTTAATTCATACTACAACACAGCATTACTCCTTTTATCGCTGTTGAATTGACACATTTTCAACCCTCACTCATCAATTACTGCTGCATGTCCTGTAAGACTCCAAAATAAAACCACCTATGTAAAGTATAAAAACTTTTTGACATGCATGTTATTCACATTTTTCAATGACTTAGATGCAGTTTATTTCAGCAGATACCAATAAGCTAAGATTTGGTGAGCAGTACTTCATATTGTAATACTCTGTACATAAAGCTCCTGTGAGATACTTCGTCTGTGTTGATTCTGGCGCCCCCAATTGAGTGCAGTGGAGTTTAGCAGCTCAAGGAAGAACGTTTATGATCATTTCTTCATGGAAATGCAATCAGACTGAGGCGCTAAGGCAGAAAAACTACAGCGTCTGCAGTGCAAAATGATTATTATGATGATTATTACCTCATGAAAATGATCCGCTGCACACAGTGATCAACTCGTCAGGGCTCCCCCACAAACAAGCTGCTGCTGGAGGGGAGTGGGTGAGTTGTGTTTAGTCTCTTTGTTAAAGAAATCAGGCAAAGCTAAAAAGATGTTTGGTGGCTAGTAATATGACCCGGACCCCCATATGTACTGTTGATGAAGTTAGGAGCTGCTCTGAGCATTATTTGTGGCTATAGAGTGGCTATTTGGTTGAGGTTCGTATGTGGAGATGTAGACCGCTGTGTATTGCTATCGTGCGGTCATTACTAAAGTTGGTATAACTAGAGAAACAAGCAGTCGGCAACATTCATCTCTCGAGGGGGTGTCTAACTCAGTGTTGCGGTGTGTTTGACCATAGCTTAATTTTACACTGGAATATCCCTTTATAAAATGATAATAATTATGCTTGTCCAAACTTTTGCTCTTTTTCCACATTTGTGTCTTTAAGTTCTGGTTGCTAATAGCAGCTAATCAGCCATCAAATATGCTTTTTAAACCTTTAACTATGCCCCGCCTCTCTTCTGGTTTTAACTGTCTGTTGTCTTTGAGGCTGTTTATTGATCCTGGGGCTGTGAAATGACCACATCAGCTATATGACATATGACACATTAGTAAGACTTGAAAACGTTATTTGAGCTTGAGTGTGACATCGAAAGATGATGGCCCATTTATATAATATAGCTTTATTAAATATTAAAATGGTTATTAGAGTAAATGAACTCTTAAACTTACATATGAATGCAAACTAACAACTTTAATTTGCCTCATCTAATTTTGCTTTCTATTCTGTTACCCCCCTCACATGTACAATTTTCCTATGATTAAATAGAGATATTTCTATTCTGTGACTAACACTTTAACATCATTCATCAGCAGCATGTTTTATAAATATACTAAATAACACAACTGTGCCTTTCATTTGGTATTCAGTTACAACTAAAAGTGATCTGCATGTGAATAAAACTTGTTAATTCAGTAGTGCTTCACCACAATCCAAAACAAGGACTAACGAACAGCAACAAACATGTACCTTTGGTTTGGACATGTAGGGCCACGAGCTGCCCAAACAAGTATGCTTAATTTGCTGTTATTGTTGTTTCCACATTTATTTACAGCTCCTTCTCGACCCTCCTGTCACTTAGCATGGCATACAATTCTCCAGCTGTATTTTCTTGCTGGGGATTCACTTGGACGTGATACTCTCCAGCCAACCCTCTATCCATAACAGGTTAACCCTTGTCCTCCCACAAGCACAGGAGTCACTTATTTACTGTCTTCTTTTGACAGAATGTTTTACTTTGTGTCCTGCCACTCTTTGGAATATCTAAAAAGAAGTCATTTCTATCTGGCTTTTTTTTTTTTGAGCAAACTTGTCAGCCTGACAGCATGTTGTTTTCGCTGGGCCACAATCAATCAGTAGATGTGATGTTATTTGGATGAAGATAAACATCACTGCGCTTTTGTGAACATGTAACAGTTTCATTTAGCAGAGGCTTTTGTCGAAGTCACCTAAAGATGACGGTTATACGAGCAAAGATCAAAACAGGAGACAACACCAATAAAAGGAGCCGTGAACTATTTTTAGTCTGATTGCATGTCAACACAGGTGTTTGAGGCAATGCACATCACGTGTAAATGCTGGTATTTTAAAATATCATCATCATCAAAGCATCATCATCATCGTCTTCATCTTAAGCACCAAACTAACAAGTGCAGAGTTGTGCACATAATGCTGGGCCCTCAGTGGTAGGAAGGGACTGTGTGGATCAAATATAGTGGGGAATTCTTTCCACTGTTTGGGATTACAGAGGAGAAGAGTCCAGTTTGAGTGCTTAGCACATACTGGGATGTAAATATATAGATCCCTTATATATATTCTAATAAGAAGATCCAGATTTTCACACAAATACTTTGAAGGGGGGAAAAAAGTCTTCTGTTTGGACCAGTGTTGGTCAAGTGTATCTTTATCTGCTGAAACTGGTGAAAAATGTGACTGGTCTAATTAACTTAAAACAGGGCCTATGTTAATAAAGGTCTGATATTAAGACATGATAAGAGAACCCTTTGTTAGTCCACATCAGTGTAATTTGCCTCGTTGAAGACTTCATTACCAAAAGAATTGATAACTACAAACCAATTAATCACTTTTTAACTCACAAAAAAACAAAGAACAGTTCTGACTCCTCAGCTGTTATTTTTACTCTAACCAAGAAAATTCAGGTACAAAGTACAGGATTTTTTTCCAATGTAGGTGCACTCCTGTAAATGTAATGATCTCTTTATCATGTTTAATCTGCATTCAGCCTCTGGGTTGTCAAACTAAGTATGCTGACTGGATTGGATAACATCAGACACCCATATATCACCCATATATCCGTGGTTAAAGACATGTCTCTGATGTTGATCACACTGTGCATTAAGATATTGCATCATACAGAGCAGGTCTGCAAAGTAACAGTGACTCAGGATGCAGATCCAATTACACTATTAGCTGAAGAAATCCTTGATCATCTGCCTGGTACAACATTTGTTCACCGAGTGCTGTAACTTCAGGGTTTTGATCAGTGGTTGCTGGAGCTTTGGGTTGTCTCTATCGTGCTCTGTGGTTAATAAATACCCGAGGAATCAGCATTACAGCACTCAATGCTAATGTTAGCTAACAACTCTTCAGGTGACATGAAAGATTTGTTGAGTGAAAACTAAGAACTGTGTTGTCATAAAACAGTGTAAACGATATAGAACAGTGACTCCATCATTGCTCTGCACCTGTCCTTCTCTACAGTCAATAGTAAATGACCTGACACCATCAGCTGAGTTGTAATACGCAGACTTGTTCAGTTGATAAAAGCAAGTTTTATGACTACAAAACATTTTATACTTAGCTCACATCATGACAAAATTTATTTATGCGACTTTAAGAAAAAACCTTTCATTTCCCATCAACCGCCAACAGCCAGAGTAATAGGACGACATGGCCCAGAAGTGAAACTGAAGGGAGAGACTGTATAAAACATGAATGAGGCCTCACTGGTTTCTGGTCAATTTACCATGAGGCATAGAGGTGGAGTTGAGGCAAGCCTTAAGCCTCCTCACTCACAGCTACAGTGCCCGCCTGTCATTCCCCCCACCCCGGTTCAGTGTGTGTGTGTGTGTGAGCAGATAAAGAAATGAGAAATAAATGTGTTTATTTATGATACAAAGATATTTGTATGGGTGTGTATGCAGCTTCTTGCCTCTGGAGCCAGCCTCAAGTGGACCCTCGCCCATTATTCAGCACTCCTGCAGCGGCTTCATTTCTCAGGCCTTGAAGTTGCTTCTTGAAGGATACCTACAACATCATATTTTACATCCTGCCACTGCTGCATTTGCTCACTCAAGGGTGAAAAAGAGCTTGTGATTTTAGCTGAGCCAAAACAGCATTAAAGCTCACCCAGAGTCATGTTTCAGGTCACCTGGGGGTCTTCTCTTGTGGAGGAATACACGTCACCGAAGATGCTTGATGCTTAACAAGGCCCTTCAGAATGTTGCTTTTTTACATTTCTGTTGTCAACTGTTAAGTTTGCTGAAACCAGGCTTTTTTGCTTCTGCTGCAGCATTTAATCATGATAATGAAAATTTCAGGCAGTAAAACTGAAACATCAAGCCAATAGATGGTAAAAAAAATAATTTTATTTAGGTAGGGAAAAACAGAAATTCTCATTTTTTGTGGTTATCTTATAAACTTTCATGTTTTATTCTGGTTTTAATTTAGAAATGAATTAACTAGTGCAGCTTTAAATCACTTTGACTGACATTCCTGATACTTCTCCGATGTTGCAAACCTACTTTTACAAAAGAAAAGTTCTCTGGCATTTCTTGTGACATTTAGGTTGATTTATTACTTTGAAACATGGGGAAAATGTGAGAAAATAATATGAACTAAGGTCTCTATTACTCTTACTCGGTGAAAATGCAGCTACTATGAGATACAAGGTTGGGATAAATTCATTATCTGCATGCTGATGTTTTTTTTTTTTCATTGTAAAACAGTGAGAAATAAGTCACTGAAAGTGGTGGTAAAACGTTTAAGGGTGTGTTTATTGGATCATAAACCATCAATAATAATGGTAGCATTTACAGCAGGAGTTATTCCTCTGACAGAAACTGTGGTGGAGAGTATCTGATTGTTCAGGACATTACTGCCAAAAGCCACTCCATCAGGGATTTGAAATGTTTTGGTATTGCTGTCTACAGAGTCACAGAGAGGAACAGACAACCATTTACTGAAATTAGAAGTGCAATTGATCCACGCAGCAACAAATTTAGCTCTTAGTGAACATAATGAGGGACCGTCTCCTCATGGATTTCAGTGATTTTATTTTCCCGTCTGGTATCTTTGGTGTCACCGTCCTCCACCTACAGCTGTGATGCTGTTATAGGAGCAGCTGCAACTCACTGGGAAAGTCAGTTGACTTTTTTTCCTGTGTGCAAAAGTGCCTTTGAGCAAGATGCCGAACCACAAATTGTCCAGCATTGTATAAATGTGTGTGAATGGGATTACTGTGAACAGGCTGGCACTGCATGTAGCAGCCTTTGCCATCAGTGTTTGAATGTGACTTGAAGGGAATTTGGCATGTAGTGTGTGATCACTGTGAGTGTTCAAAAGACTACAGGCGTAAGAGCGATTCATTTATTATGTACTTTACCCAGAATGAGTTAAGAGTTTATAAATCTGCTGATGTTATTTTGATTTATTGTTCAGTAGCCTACAGACTGCAAAAAGTGATCATCAAACTGTAAATAATTAAATTTATTCATCAATAGCTGCTGTTTGACAGTTTTTATTTCTATTTAGCTTAGTTAATGACCTTAAAATAGGTTGATAAAGAAGCGTATAGTGATCCTGTTGGACAATCTCTGGTCTCAGACTCTGAAGAGAAAGAAGTTGTACTTAAAAAAAATATTGTCTCAGACATGAAGGCCATAAAAAAAAAAGATTAGCTGAGCAATGATTGACTATTTGCCTTGTTATTAGAGATGTGTAGGTCGCAAACGAACCAGTTCAAAGAGTCAGCTCCTGTTTGTGAGCTGTTTTTTTTGTTTGTTTGTTTGTTTGTTTGTTTCTTTTTACCTCCACAGACCGTAGAAAAAAACTACAAGGCTGAATGACGGGATTTCTATCTGCTTTGTGTAGCAGAGTGGTTCTACAAGCAAGTCAGCGCAATTACTGGGTGGTTTCAGAGTTACAAGGGTCTGTAAATGCAATGAAAACAATTGGCTAAAGCAATTTACTGATAATAGAAAATGTCATTTTCACTTGCAAATACTTCAGTACAAAGGATGTATTGAATTATTTCACATTAAAAAATACAAGAATAGCATAGAAGTAAAGGAAGAATCATATCTAAAGAACCCTGATAGATGATTGTGGCAGAGATCACACCCAATTAACTTCAACATGCCTCCAAAGTGTGCTATATGAGAAAAATCATTAATCATTCAATGCATTAGAGTCTCCTTTTAATAAACCTTTTGCTAAGTCAAGTTGATGCTGAATGCAGTGTTGCTATATCAGCTGTAAGCTGCACACAATGACTGCAGGAAACCTTGACGGAGTCAATGCAGAACTCTAAATTAAACATGGCGCTCGCACACTAAGACAGAACTTTAGCGAGGACTTCATTTAATCATGACAAAAGGTGAACTGCTTGCAGCAAATAACTAAAGCCTGTACTATATTTACCTCAGTATAGATAGATGATCTTTATTCAAAAACAGCTGATACACACCACATTATTGTACTTTTTAAGTCTTATTTCATTTGTTATCTCTTCAAAAGTATTTCCACAAAGTAGTCAGTGTTGCAGGATTTTTGTATTTTCAGGTAAAATGAAGAATTAAGTTTTTAAATGACAATAGTGACAAGAGATTGGAAAGAAACTTTTATGTGTGGAGATCTGTGTGGTCAGTCAGTTAAATGAGCTGAACATACAGAAACTTATTTCACATGTTTCTATATATCTTGTTTTAAAAAAACAACATCATTATGAATCTCAAATGGAGAAATTTCCTAATGAACAATTTTCGATTTCACTTTCTGAAACTTTCACGCTTCTAACACAACAAACCAGCTGTGACAACACTGCAAAGCGCACATCTGATGTGTTTTCTTTCTTTTTTTCTCTCATTGGTGTGATGTCCCGGGTGTGTGCGTGCGCCTGTGTGTGATGTCCCCGGCAGCAAACAGCAGCAGAGACAGGATGGGATTTTTGTTTTCTCCTGCTGCGACTGTGTTTACAACACAAAGCTCATATGATACAGATAGAGGTGCTGTGAGGACGTAATAAAACACATTAGTGTAGTACTGTTGAAGTGATAGATGATGGAGGTAGAGACCTTTGTGTTTGTTTTACAAGCAGAAGCAAAAAGTAGCTAAAATAAATCATTTAATCCGTTCACCGAAAAGCCTCTAAGCTTCCCTCGCTGTTCTAACTCTGATTCTTTATTGATTATTTGATCTCGACTGATTGAAAATCAGTTTCCGTCATTTCTTTTCTTCAAACTGTTTTGTTTTAAAACAGACTTTTGTTTTGTGTTGTCACTGTTTCTTTCGCACAAACTCAGCAGTGAGAAGGTTTATGGCTGTCGCATGCACACATTCCTACAGTTTTGTTTCCATAGAAACACTGAGTCTCAGGCAGGCGTGTGTTTTAGAGTTACATAAGCCTTTGCCTGTAGTACGAAACACACACCGACACGGGTATTCTTATTTGTCTAGATTCCTATTTTTAGGAAGCACATTTGAAAACTGATGTGAAATCATGTTTTGTTATTTCACACTTGGTGCTATTTTTAGCTCTGTGACTGTACTTTGCTGTGATCTTCGGGTCTCTGTCTGATATCTTCCTCTATATAAGTGTGCATTTCCATCACTGATCAGACCCCTTAAGTCCTGGACTCAGTAAAGATCGAGGTGTACCGTTTACTTCTGTGTTTATTACATTGTGGGCTGTATGAATGTGGGTGTTGCAGAACAGCTGGTCTGGAGAAGCACAACTGTATATACCCCATGCAGCTGTGATGCTTATTAGGCACCGACCAGGCATCAATTAGTGAATAATGCATGGAGAATCATATTCATAACACCGGCTGTAAATGAGTTGAGAACTTTTGCTGGATTTTGAACATGGTACTGTTTGTCAGACCCTCTGTATTGTTGAGAATTTTATTTTATTGTGTGGGTTGAGCGGCTCCAGAAGACAGGGGGGTTGGATTCAGCCCCCAGGCCTTCCAGGGTTCATGGGCATCCAGAGGTCTGACAGTCACTCATACAGCATCTGCAGCAACAAAAGAGCATTATTAATAGATGAAAGACAAAGCTATATATGTGTCTTGTAGATTACTGTAGTAACATTTTGCTCTGGGCACTTTTTATTTCCAACCTTTGTTTTTTTCTTTTTTTTTTTCTGTCCAGTAAAGCTGCTATCGATTCTTTAGTCCTGTATTTACTAACCCAACCTCCATTAAACATCCACCGTAGTGAAAAAAAGAAGGTATGGCTGACTTCTGGAGGTGATAAACAAGCTGCTCGAAAGCGCTTTTCTCAGAATCAGTGCATGTAAGCCTGCTGATGATCAAATGCTGACTGTGTTTTGGCTGCAGGCAGCTTAAAAAGGCTCACAATGCAATAAGCTTTTCATTCACACTTAACTCTCAATCGCTCCGGCCTGAAAGTCCTCATTAGCGTCGCCGATTTTATTCACCGCAGCACACTTCCATATGCCCAAAGGCTCAGAGACTCTGAAGCGACAGTGCAGAAGTAATACTTTGAATACCCTAAACGCACTTGATGTTCACTCTCCTGCACATCTGCCGTTGTGTACAGAGCTGTTACCACTGAATTATTTTATAACCTTGGGAATCGGGCAGAGTCACAGATGCCTCTAGTTTCTGATGGTGACGTCTACACAATGAGCTGCAGAGTCTCACTGTGTGAGTGTGTCTCAGTCTGGACTCAACCGTCTGAGCTCGAACAATATTAATCTGGTAATTAAAACATGTGATAATAACACAGTGCAGTCACTGATTTCCTAATGGATTTCAACGAGTCTCAGCAAGAGTGCCTCCAGCCATCCGTCTGTACTAAAACCAGAGCTTTTAGGACCGATATAACCGAATTAGAGTTTTGTTTAGGATAAAAACCTAATTATAGATTTTCTATGCTCACTTTTACTGAGAAATTGAATGTGTTTTTTTCAGCTGCACTTTGACAGACAGTGCTTTGGTCTCAGTACTGTGAAATGATATAATACACAGCAGCTTTGATAGCAGCTGCTGAAAATCACTAATAAGCATCCAATAAGAAATGTTGCTGATCGTTTATTCAAACCTTGTGGTTTTGCTAATTGCATTAATTTGTTTCCCAGGACAAGAGGAGAATATTTAAGCAGGGATTTAATTCAGAGTCCCCTGTGAGGGAAATTTTATCCTTAATTCATTACAAAACGTGCATCTTCTGCTGAATTTGCACAGCATGGCTGCATGTTCAACGAATGCAAACCCTGCATCTGCTAAATTGGATATTTTGTTGTAATTTGCAAACTCTAAATGACACAATTAAATGCGTTAACTGAAATTGTGGCACTCATTTTTGCCTTTTTTCAAGCTGAATAATATTATGTAAGAAAAGCTTTGTGTTATTCTTCGTGTTTCTGATTAAACTGGATTCTCTTTGTTGTGTCAGAGAGCTTCACAGACATTTCACTCGAAGTCAGACCTCCTGCAGCCTTCGCCTGCAGCCGTTACTCCTCTGGGTTTGCCTCTCCAGAAATTTGATTATCTTAATCCTCCATCTTTTGTAGCTACCAGGCAAGCTTAAGATGCGGACTGAACTGTTAAGTAGCATGAGAGTCGATGTGGAGAACGCCTGTTTGTTATCCTGGAAGCCTGAGTTTTTTTCCCTGCTCAAAATAGAACGAACAATATTGTTTTATGTCTTCCTTGGTTTAGCCTCGACCTTTTTATTTATGCATTCCTGTGGAGCTTTGACAAAACAGCAAGAAACTTAACACTGAATAAATCAAATTAATGTCATACTGTGTTTAATCAGGGAATATATATGACGAGAGCATTGGCAGTTCTTTATGAACAGTCATTTCAGAATGAATTAGGCCTTTTATGATTAACTAATTAGCTAAACAAACACAGCAAATAACTCAGCCGTACTTCTAATTATTTTTCAAGTTAGGCTGGAAATTGCTCCTAAACATCACGTTTGGAAGCTGAAAAGTCCATTAAGCTTTTTATTTAGGCAGCTGGCTCTGTAATACAGTAAGTACTCATTCACTGAGGCACTTTTGTTTGCATTATTGTTGGCTCTGTGATCCAAAATTGCAAGGATCCTGATGAATACCGTCTTGTTTATGGAACTGTGCCAAGCATATAATTAAATCAGAGCTCTGTTGTTTCATGCTGGAGTCATGAAATACTTCATGTTGAAATTTTAGCTTCTAGTGCTCTGGCCCGTGGAAAGGCAAAGACACATAATTCGTCATCATTTGAAACCTCCTGCAAAGGGATCTATGTGTGACCAAGTTGTGGTTTTCTCTTTGACAGGGATGACCTGCCAAGCGAGGACGTCGTATACAGAAGACGAGGTTTTGTGGGGACACCGCTTCTTCCCAGTCATCTCCCTGGAGGAGGGTTTCTTTAAGGTGGACTACTCGCAGTTCCATGCCACGTTTGAAGTGCCCACCCCTCCGTACAGCGTGAAGGAGCAGGAGGAGGCCCTGCTGCTCTCCTCGCCCCTCATGGCTCCGTCCCTGTGCAACAGCGGGGACAAGAACAGCTCCCTGGACTGCCTAGAGACCCTGGAGGACAATGACAGCACCACCAAGCTGCCCACCAAGCTCCAGAAGATCACAGGGCGGGACGGCCTGCCCAAGAAGCTGCTACGGATGAGCTCCACCACATCAGAGATGACTTACAGCTTTGGAGATCTGCCCATGAAGCTGCAGCGAATCAGCTCTGTTCCCGGGGTTTCTGACGATAAGATGGCTGGCAAGGCCTCCAAGATCAGCACAGAGCCCATGAGTAAGTCTGTGGCGGACTTACCTCCCAAGCTGCAGCGACTTGCTGGGGGAGGAGGAGGCAGGATGGACGGACACCTGCCCCCAAAACTCAGAAAGATGAATTCAGATCGCTTCACATAAAGCAGGCGACATATTTTAACTAATGCCATTCACCTTTATTCCCCGACCTGAAATCCTTGTACTATTACCCTTTTATTAATGGACAATATTCTTATATTAAAAGAAATGTAGAATATGTGCACAAATACCTTATATAAAGTAGGGTGATGGAATTGAGCACATTTGCTCCTGGCTATAAGTGTATACACGCTATGGCGAAAGACCTCCGATATTTTTTTTAGGATGATGTAAAATTAGCACAATCTGGCATGTAAGAAACAGCGCATGTAGAGCAGACTCTCAATAATTTCTGGCATGACATTTATTGATATCTTATTTTACAAAAAAAAAAAATCATTAGTGAATTTACTGACGGTGAAAAATTGCACAAAGCCATAATGATTTACGATGTGGACAACCTACATTACACGGTTCTGATTTGTGGTGACATACGAAAGGCACATACATTTGTTTTGAGTTGATTGCTTTTGTTGTTTAATGTAAAATTGTGGCAAATGTTCTGTTGATTGCATGCTCCTCTTATTGACTTAGCTATACAAAGGTAATAGACAAAGATGTTTAGCCTTAACTATATTACCTTGTTTCCATTTTCACGTTTGTTCACAGCTGGGTTTTTTGGTATTTCATATATAGACTATTTTACCATGTGCAATTTTATGACTTTATTAGTTGATCAAATACAGAGTATGTTGCTAAGCGATGCATTTTTCTACCTGAGAATGCATTAATGGCATCATATGAGCTGTCTGAACTGGGCATACTGCTACACAATTTTCACTTGCTTATTAAAGTAACACTTAAGTTGAAAGCGTCGATACTTGTACTTGATAAGCACAAAACCATCCTATAATACCCTGTGATATTAGAAAGCATTTATGAATATTTTGTTATTGATGAACTGCTATAGGGCAGTAGCTCAGTACTGTGCAATCACTTTATGTCATAATAAAACCAACTTAATCTTCAGTAGGCCTGTGTAGTGACACAAAAACACGTCATTAGAATTTCAACTTAGGTGTTACTGGTTAGATTAGAGGTGGGCCTGTAAGGAAACCATAACCTTTTTGTCTTAAAGGCCCATAATCTCCCTCCTCTGTGATGAAAGCAATAATATTATAATGAATATAATCTTTATATAGCCACAGGGTCTACCACAGCCCCATATTCACTCTGTTTACTGAATCCATGCCATGAAATCTGGTTTTCTCTAAATGCATCAAAGACATTGTATGATACCCAATCTCTTCAGGAATAAAGATCTAACATACCTGTTTAGCATCTTGCTACTTTGACTAAATTTAATGCGTGCTTAGCAGTCCAAATCAATAGAAAGTTATTAGTATAGGGTGCTTTAGAATTATAGGAGGCTATCGACACTCTTACCTCACATTTAACTCTAAATAATGAAGCCAAAGGCCGGTTATCAAGGAACAGCCAAAGCGAGGCACATCCATATCACTGTGTGTGCACAGGCTCACACCTCTGTCTGATCAGCTTCAAGAAAAAGAGTTTTACCGGTGGGGGATAGAGCACACTTTCAATGTGTGGTTGACAGCTAGATGAGCGGCTCTATGCCACCTCTGTACAATATTAAATAAATTGTATATGATGTGACATTTGGAGGAAATTGACTTCACTTTTACAGCCAAGTGTTAAACATTAAGCTACAGATAGCAGCTCAGTTTCTCAGTAAAAAGAGGGGCCAGCCTTGGAGAGTCACTTATATACTCTTCCTAGTGAGGTTATCTAGTAGGACAGAGTTTTAGGGCCACACTCAAGGAAAAAGGCGAAGATTTAACCTTTTTAAAAAAGACACATTTTTACACTCATTTTCTCAGAGGAATAAAGTTATAAGAGAATAATTTTTTCAATATAAAAAAACCAAAGGAAAATCAAGTTGTATGGTTACATTTAGAAGTCAAATTATTGAAAAAATAAAGTCATAGTCAGGTCAGAGTATTTTGAGAACAGAGTCATCATGTTCTGAAATTAAAGTCATGATAAAGTATTTTGGTTTACAGAGAGCAGCCTGCTGTCTGAATCAAAATGAGGATCGTGGAGCGACTTGTTAAATTGGTCTTGATGTTTGGCACCTCAGCACTACACTGTAATAAGTATCAGGACTGTGAAAAGACTGTGCTTTATTATGCTGCTAATTGGTCACTCAATTAACAACTTTTTTTTAGAAAGGACTTTCTAGGGATTTAAAAAATAGACTCAGAAAAAAAATCTGTACATCTTAAAAAGGAAAATCTAAACCATTCTAAAAAATCTAAAATCTTTTTTTCTTTAATGTGGCCTTAATACTCTGTTGTAACATGATAATTAATGTTCTTTAAGGATCCTGATTATTTGGGTACAACAAATTTGTGCATGTTTTAAGTGTTTTTACTAAGTTGAGCAAACCAGATGCTCACCGAAGCCTCGTATTAACTTTGCTGCTTTAAAGGGAGTTTCTATCTCATGACAAAATATATACATGTCTGTCTTATTGTTTCTGAGCACACGCATTATTTATTAAATGAGCTGTAAAAGCAAAGCCCTCTAAAAGTCATAAACTTCAATGATCACCTCACATTTTTAAGATGAACATATGCTCTAGTTGATAAAACGACCAAAACCCTGATATAAAATCTCAAGGGCTCAGATGCAGATGATTGCATCTTTTTCTAGTCAGTGGGACAGTCTACAAACTATATTTAACACAAAAAAATACACAACTCACTCATTTAAACACACATTTAAAGACACATATCTGTGCAAACTCGTGTAACCAAATCTGTGCCACGTAAAGCATTGAACCTGGACACTCAGCCGGTGTTTTCTTCCCACATTTTCAAAGTTTTGATCTCAGCTGTTGTTCATATTTCCCTGCACCCTCTCCACTGCTGGCAAATATGCAAATATGTGTAAATACTAACTGCATTTGAGGAGATTCCTGGAAGTCATCGCAGAGATAAAGTCAAAGGTATGACTGTAGGTGTATCTTAATTAGTCGGTAAATTCTTTCTTCGCTACAGGATAATCCATCTTTTAGTCTGAATTTAAAATAATCCTGTTGGATGTATCAGGATATCAAGACTGCGCTCTACATTTCCTCCTGACTCCAAGGGAATGGGATGTAAATCGCTTTCGGCTACCTTATATAAGCACTTGATTTGCCAGAAAACAATTGCCTTTTTATCACCACAGGGATCTTTGCCCTGTGTCACTTTGTTGTTTTATTTCTCATCATGTGTGCTCTCCCCGGCAGTGCCAATAATGCCTCTCCACAGAAATAGCATTTCGATGCTAAAATAATTGACTCAAGTGTATTTGGAAAAGGTGGGAGGATTTTAGTAGGAGGCAAGAAAAAGGGTTAGTCAGACTTAAGAATCCTGTTTGCTGTCCAGAAAGAAAATGTAATTCTTTGGAAGGTGTTTTGATTCCCGTTGTTATCAGGTTTCTTGACAAATAATCTCTGTCACAGACTCAGCCTATGGCAAAGAAAACAGCTGCCAATGCTTGCAGGACAAATGAAACCCAATTTTGCACTGAAATGGCACATTTCTATTTCTCAAAGGCTGTTTTGAAACCAAATGGTTCCCTTGGGTAGCACACAATCAAATTTATTTACTTCAAGAGAAACAACTTTCTGCATTAGTAATTTGACTCCCAGACAATGAGACTAAGTTCATTGTACATTCAGAAATAAATATGCCATACTGACTGGCTTCTGAAGCGCTCCTCTCACTTCTTGTGCCACATCACAAGCGTCAAGATGGGTCGATACATGACACATCGCATATGAAGAATGGTACAACATAAGAGCCCAGTGCTGGTGACTTTGCACTACATTGCAAACTGCTAAAAAGAACAAATGTCCCCCCTCACACCAGTCATTTTCTGTGTTGCTTGTCTATCAGTGCAACTGTGTCTGAACATGCAATTTTAGTTCTTCATGAGTGACTGCTTCCAAATAAAGGGTGAAATAGTTCATGTGAGTATTGGTGAGATGAAATGTGTAAATGGATGTTTATTTTGTGATGTGTTGGAGAAGAAGTTTAAATTTCAAAATCCCCTTTTATCCTGCTCTGTGATTGTCCAATCCGAACAGGTACAACAGGCAGACCTGTTCGTATTCATGTCTCCTTACAGGTTCAGACTGTTTTCATGGAGAAGTAAGCAGTCACAGCTGTACTCTGTCACTCTGTTTCTGTAAATCTCACTTCATTACCAACAAAAGTCTGAGTCTTCGTTCTGCTCTATTTAAACTGGGGACTTCATACTTCATTAAATAGCGTTGTGATTGTCACAACGGTCCTCATCCCAGCAGACTTTTCTCCTTTAGTTTAAAGTGAAACACACCTTTTGAAAACACAGACAATAATGCACGAGTTTTATAATCTCATAGTAAACTGAACAACCAAACTAGTTTAGGAGAAGAAATGACCATCGAATGTGACATTTTTCCCCTCATATGATACAAAACTAACAGCACTGATCTATTTCTGTATTTTAAGTAGGTTAAAGAAAGCCATACTATAATATACAGTGGTCTATGTCTCCACGCTCAAACGTCAACCAAAAAGGTGACCAAAAAGCCACTCTATAGCCACAAATAATGCTCAGAACAGCACCTAACTTCATCAACAGTACATATAGGGTCCCAGCCATAGTACTAGTGACCAAACATCTTTTTAGCTTTGCCTGATTTCTTTAGCAAAGAGACTAAACACAACTCACCCACTCTCTTCCAGCAGCCACTTATTTGTGCAGGAGCCCTGATGAGCCGATCACTGATAGCGGCGGAAGTACATTTATGATTATTACTTCATGGAATCAGAGTTCTTGTGTGTCTTGTATGTGCACTGCAGATGCGATAGTTCTTGTGCCTAGCGTCCCAGTCTGATTGCATTTCCATGAAGTAATAATTATAAATTTTCCGCTGCACTTGGTGATCGACTCATCAGGGCTCCCCTTTATGTACTGTTGGTGAAGTTAAGTGCTGTTCTGAGCATTATTTGTGGCTATAGAGTGGCTATAGAGTGAGACATAGGCTGCTGTGTATTGCTATCGTGCGGTCGTTACTTAAGTTGGTATAACGAGAGAAGCAAGCAGTCAGCAACATTCATCTCTGTTTGACCCTGACTTAAATTTATGCTGGAATATCCCTTTAAGTTCCTGTCAAGTTTTTATTCTATAATAAATTATTTAGCTGCATTTTAGCAAGAGGTCAGTGTTTAAAACAATTCATGAAGCAGTGGTGACTGGTTAGCCTGCTTGAGATGCACATCCTTCTGCTAAAAGGTGCTATTTTGACAGACAGAGCCAGTCATTTCTGACTGTGAGTGAGAAGTCTGCCGTATAAAACCATTTATTAGGTGTCCAAGTACATTGGTTCAGACGTTAAAGATGTGCCTCATGCTAACTGATGTTTTGTTTGTGTTCTTATTTATCTGTGAATGAATATATTTTCTAAAAATCTAAAAGTCCTTCTTTCAGTGTTTTAAAACCACATTTTGGATGTCTTATCACATATTTGAATTCCTGGAGATCCATTTTATTGAGTCATCCTTCAGCATGAGCCAGCCTGTCGGGCTTAAATGTAACCTTGTTGGACTGACAGTCAGATTTTGTCACTGTAACATTTTTCAGTTTGTCGAGGGCTTTTACATGCTGATCTCCTTCAAGTCCAGAGATTAGGTCTAGAGAGTGAATCAAATTTTCAAGGCCCATGTAGTGATTTCCAATTCAGTTTTTTATTGCAGCACTTCCTGACTCATGAGCTGAGCTCTGGGTGTGATCTAATGCCGACCAGGTTGATTTGGGAAGCTTAGTGCTCATTTCTGCTCAAGGCGATGATGATAGTGGTTAGACAATATCTGCTCCATGAAACAGATATGAGGGAGGAAGCCTGTAACTGTTTAGTGTTCAACATGCTCTCTGACACTGAACATAAGCTGAATCATTATGGCTGTAAGGGCACTGAAAGGGGAATCTCATTGTACAAGGGCATCTTTAATCTGATTATAAATCCAAAATAATATTGCTAATAATAATTTATAACTTGTCTAAGTTCTTCCTTCATGTGGGAATGATATAATGTCTTTCGTTTAAACTTTGCAGTCCATTACAGATCCCCAAAGATCAGTCCGACAGAGCAAATGGAACAAAAGCAGAAACTGACAGAGAGATGAGAGAAGTGCATTACAGGCAGAGGAGGAGACTCAAATTGGTGTGTGGGATGAATAATGCATTTGTCTCAATCCTTCCAATCCTGTAAGTTAGCGCGATGACAGTGATCAAAGTTGAGTCGGGGAGGGATGATATTAAGGGGGAGATTAAAATGGTTGAGCGAGTGTAAAAGAGAACACCAGAGGGAAAGAGGGGATATTTCTGTCTCTTGTCAGATTCTGTCATGACTTGTTTTACATTTGCACTTCCCCTCTTTGTCCCTTAGCTCCTCTCCTGGCAATACAAATGGGTCTGATATTATCACGTTTCAAACAGCTGCTACCGACTCAGGGACCAATCCCCACTGCTTTCTTTTTACCCTTTTTCTTCTTTTTTTACGGCGGGTGAGCAGTTGGCTTTAAAAATGGAAACACAAAGGTCGAAAGGACGAATGATGCTAAAAAACTCATCCTCTGTTTGTCTTCCATCGTTTAAAACATCCACACAGACACACAAACACAGCCCTGCATACTTCTGCATCCTCACACCCACACACACACACACACACGCACACACACACACACACGCACACACTCACACAGCCACAACAGATGCCTTGTCTCTGGTGTATTGTATTTGTACGATAACGGGGCTGGTGTGGGCGTCTGCAAAACAGCTCAGTTTGCACCTGAGTCAAAATCTCTCTTTCTCTCTCTCTCTCTGCTTTAGTCGCCAACAGCGCAGGGAAAAGAAGGAGCTGAGGAGAGGACACATCACACCAAGCCCACTCTTACTCTCCCTCTAGAGTGATGAGCCTGTTTGCCTGATGCTCGCTTTATCTACTCACTTTCATTTCATGTTTGCTTTAAGATCAGTTTGCAAATGTCGCCCTGCTTTTGACAGAAAACTATTGCTTTTAGAGAGTTCTCGATCTATTTCTTACTCTGTCTCATCCAGATTTGAAATTAGAAAAGTAATCTGATGCTGACTTATGATCAGACTCAATTCCTCATGAGAGTGTGGTGTGTAATGATTTTTCACTTCTTTGTGCTCTCAAGCTGAAAAAACAGGATTACAATAATCATGATTGTGGTGTTTTCTGAAGTTTTAGTCATGACGAAGCAACCCATAATTAACCTACTGATGTCATGTTACAGTGAGACTAAAAGAACGACTCATCCATGGCCACGAGGAAGGTCTCAGCGAGCTGCAGTGAACCTTCATAAATCCTGCCACCTTTTGTTCATCCATGTGCTGGATGTACGCTTGAGGAAAATGACTCTGCATACTCGAAGGGCACCAAATAATTGTGGTGCTTCAGGCAGAGCCAGTAGGACTGAAATAAAACAAGTGCTCTCTCACAATCCATGCATGCTAAAAATAAGCCTGTTCAGACGAGGGTGGCGGATTCTCGGCTGCATCCTCGGCTCTGGCTGTGGAGGCAACTGTTTGATAAGTGTGGAGCTATGAGAAAGAGCTTCTGTGCAACTGTGTGCGGCTCTTTTTCTCTGCATGCGTGACATACAGTACATGAAGGCTTTTTGGATCACGGTACAGTGTAACAGCCCCCAGCTCAAACACCATTGTGTTAAAATATAACAATATATATATAAATATAACAACATATAAAGACGATTGAGCAGTGATTCTCTTGCTTTTAAGAAAGCTTGAAACCACATCAAATGTATACTAGCTGTTACTAACAACAGTAAAAGTATTTAGGATAAGTATTCAAACACTTCTATCTCCAAATTAGCAATTAATGACGCGTTTAAAATACTTCATAATGAGGGTTTCCCCTGAAGCACTTGTTACCTAGCAACTGCGACCAGAATACACTGAATCTGCATATGACCAGGACTTCACATGTTTCAATAGTCATGTAGTTTTTGCATGTGTACTGAATCTTTTCCCTAGGAGGGCGAGTCGAGACCTCTTTCTTAGGTGTTTTTGAGCAGCAGGAGCAGAACTGATAGTAGATTCAAAGCTGGTCTCACTTGGTTGGGCAACGTCTCTCTCCCCCGCTGGTGGTCATTCACTTCATCATTGTCTTTTCACAGCCGTTTCAGAGTCTGCTGTGGCACAGGGATGAATATTTCAGCAGGGCCACACACATACACTGTGTTCCTTTAGTTACTGTACTCAGGTTGTAAACAGCGTTGGGCTCTTCCCAAGGTAGTCAGGTGTTTTCATGCTGCCAAAAAACTCTGTTTATTGTACACAGACACTTGGCTGTTATAGTGTGCAATTACAGCAGGAATGTGTGCCCATTTCTGACCTATTCTGCATTTACTATGAGACTGTGTGCACCTTTAATTTAGACATGCAGGATTCTTACTGACAGTATTCTCAAATACAGAGAGGACAACAAGAATTGGCAAGGGACATGTCTAGACTTCTTTGACAGGAATGGCCAAACACAGATACTGGCTTATGCAGGCCTGGCATGAAGCAAATGTTTGCACACATAAATATTAAAATTGTATTAGATCATAATGATTTTTTCTACTATTAATACCTAATTTCACTTCCAAGTATGGAACAAGATAATTTATACAGTGCAGACTGTCAAAGCATTCAATTTCACATATTTAACAACCCACTTGAATACGTTTTTCTACGAAATGCACAGCTACTTCCTCAAAGACCCACTCCGATGAAAATCGTGTTTTCTAGTTGTCTTCATGTTCATATGGCATTTTTTTAATGCTACAGGACATGATGATGATGAGAAAAATAAGTGTGAAATTGCATTTCTGACTATTTCTGCATTCAAGTCGCTGTGAACCTCTGGCAGATCAAAACAGCAGGTTCAGA